AAGAAGTGATGCGGGAGATGGCCGAATAATCATGCGACTTTCTCCTCCGCGCTGGTTTGGCTCGCTCAAGCTCTCTGTGTAAGTAACCCAAATACAATATATGGTTAGGAATGTACTACTGGGCCTGCGCCGTAGGATGGGGATTAAAGTAATGATGACAGGCACTAAACGTCTGTTCTGTTACTATGTTACCACCATGTAATGAGCTTATTGCCAGTGAATAGGAGACGTTGCAAAACTTTGAAGTTCGAGCCGCTCGAGGGAGCAGACGCTCGGCTCCCTTCGGCCATCTCCCGCATCACTTCTTGAGCTATTCCTGGCGCGAACGAAAGCGCGAACGATTGCTCGAGCGAACGGCCGAATTGTAGAATTGAGCATGCCTGTTACGTCTTCCAAGACACTTTTTATGTTCGAGTAACGTGGTTATTGGTGAGCGCTAACGCTTCCTGATTGCATCTGATAGCCTTTATAATGGCACGGTGGTTCACCGAGTTTCATAGGGCCAAGTGAGACCCTGTAGGGAAGCGAATTGGAAGAGCTAAGGTACAGCTGAAATTCACCCTTATCCAACAGGTTCAGACCTCGATAAATAGGGTCTTAACCTCTGCGAGATGCCCGATATGACGATGCCAATGTGGTAGGGAGGAAGTATACTGCACTGCAGCCTAGGGATTTACCGACCTGAAGATTGCGCGCTACCGGTCTGACTTAACTTGGGTGTCTGCGGATTCTACTCGTGGCAGACGACGCGCGAGCACATTATAACCTCGTATATTCTCCGATACCCATAATCGCGGGCGTGGGGTGTCCTCGACCAAATACCCAATGCGAAGGACGTGTGAGTTCTCTGGCTCTAGTTGCCCTGAGCCTGTAAGCTGAAATACTTGTTTCGTGCATTCGGAGATCAATGCTCACTTCCCTGATCTCTGTATCCACAATGGCAAAGTCCGGCTGCTAAGCACCCGGCCGCATGTCGACAGAAGCATTGGTATTAACCAGAGAAAATTCCATTACAGCTGGTGGCCAGTAAGCATACCTTCGAACGCCTCGACTCAAGCAAGGGCGCATCACGAAGCCCATAACTAATTTTGCAGTTTTTACTGGTCCCCAGTACGGGAATCTTGTCACAGCCAGACAGTGTTCTCGTTACACCTGGGAGTTTGCCTGGATTTATCTTCCCATACAGCGAAACGCAGTACTGCGGTTTAGAAGAGCGGAGTCACAGGTATGTGCTTTCCCAGAAATCGGAGGCTTTCCACCTCCCTTTGATACGAAATAGGATCCAGATTCTAGCCAGGATCTTGCATAGCGGCTGCTTCTGTAGCATTATGAGCGAACTGAGGAGAGCAGCTCGGAATTGACCTATGCATAGCGCAAAACACGTTGCTTATGGCTATTCTGAGTTTTTAGGGCTTGTTTCGCAACCATGTCGTCTCCGACGCGCAATGCTTGTGGGCCCGAAATATCGGCACACTTTGGGAAGAATATATGCAACTTGTCTCTGGACGAAAATTGCTCACCCCATAATCCAATCAAAGGCGGACTATACAATGGGGTTTGGAGTGGCGATGTCCATGATCTGGGAACCGGAAGGCCGCCAACGGCCTACGATAGAATCGGGCGTCCGTCTTACCGGGACATCCTGTGCCACCGCGGAGAAACCACATCAGGACAGTCCAAACCCAAGGTGAGTATGACGTTCATTTCCCCAATCACTTGCAGCGCTAATGTATATGTTACTGCATAGGCAGTTGATTGACGCGGTGGACGCCTTGTTTGTGGATGCCCAGGTGAATTGTTTGTGGATGCCCAGGTGAATGCTCAACAACTCCTAGTCAGCGGGTTTCGTTCCTGGTCATGCAGGTAGGCTGCCAACGGTTCACAAGTAACGTCATAAGAAGGGCAACTTTGCCGACGGAGTAAGCCAGAATGCCGAGAGCACCCGTTCGTCGAATCATACCCTCGTCAGATGCCGGGGAATTATTCTTGATGACCGAGGTTTGAAAGAAGGTCCAGCACTTGGCTAGCTATGATTGTTGAAATGAGGATGATCACTACTACTGGTACGATGATATGGTAAAGATCCCGCCTTTCTCTGCGGCTTCAATGTTGCAAAACGTGCACATCTGGATCAAAGGGCGAGGCATGGGGAGTCATATGCCACGATGCGGTGCATTATCGAACGTAAGTCCCCAAATACGTCCGTGCCGCTGTTCTCAATCCTCGTAAAGCAGGGCAGGCAGATGGTGCAGCTACGGAACTCAAGCCGTAATCCAGTAGCAAGCCCGGCCGAGCAGATCCGCCGACAATTCCAAACGTACATCAGTGTATTTCTGACCAATACACGCACACAGCTGTCGAGTGCAGATGGTACTGCGACTGCCATTGGTGACGAAATACTATGGGACCGCCACAATACGCCTAATTTTATGCGATCGGCGTTCTGGCACTATTGGCGGATGTGCAAGGTAACCCAACCGCCGATGGGTTCTGACAAGTTTATGCCGCGGGTTCCCGCTGTCCAAAGCGTGCGGAAGCTGCCGTCTTGGCCGGGCGCCGTCGGTGTCAGATGTGAACAATACCACGGGATCACCAGGGTAGCTCACGGCTGCGGCACGACAAAACGCGATATGGTACCCTGTAGCTAATAGCACAGAGTGACCATTGCACGGATTCCCACGTTTGTTCTGCCTCCGAGCGAATATCTTGTGCGGCTCCGACCTATCTTAATATCGGGGTTCAATCTTGGCCTCGGTATATACAACCGGTATTCATTTCCAGAGACTTGCGTATTAAACAAGATTCTCCTCATTCCTCCTAGGCTTCCGCCGAGGCATGCGAAGTCATTGGAGCTGGAGAACTGTTTCATTTCCCATAGTACTGGTCCATCATGCTTCCGAAAGCCTTCCACTGCTGTGCTGGATACCCTGGCAGCAGAGGACGCTATCCTCTCTAACATTACTGTCGTCTGCGTGGGCTGTACGTCGAAGGCTAGATCACAGCTGTCAAAAGCTGCCATCCCGCGCATCGATAACAACGATCTTTGATGTTGAAGATATCTTGCCTTCAACCCACGGGTCTGATGCGTGTGATATCTGTGCTCTTGATAGCTTTAGCCCATCCGTCAGTTTCCATCCCATTATGAGCATGCCGCGCTTCCGGAAGAGATACCATGCCCACGACGGTGTACTTAGTAACACGGAAGCATCACAGAAGGCGGAGAGGGCTCATTGTTGGACCTGAATATCAGGAGGTACGACGTATTGTCTAGAGGTCCAACCTCCAAGCGGTCTTCAAACAGGTACTTAACAGAAAGGTACTATCTGGAGTCTCGTACACGCCAAGCTTGCAATGGTTTCTGGGTCGAAATCCTGCAGCTCGGTGTAGACGCCGGGCCCGTCGGTAGCGAGTGGATATGCTTCTATGGATGTTGCAGGGCATTTGCCGCAAAGCGCCTTACTCAGTGACTGATATTCCCTCGCTATTAGGTCAAAGAAATCGACCAACCGTAACGTCTGTACATTCGGAAGGGACTTCTTGATACCAAGTGCTTGCCTCATCCTTTCCTAGACTTTTCGCTTTCCATCTGCGTTTCTGTGTTCTATCTTCAATCACACGATGGCTCCGGCTAGATCCCCTGGATTCCTCCGCGAATTCACACAGCGCTCTGCTTCTGCCAAAGACACCGCAATGTCACCGGAACCCAGGGGAGGAAGAGGGAACGCTCAAGGAAGGATTAGGTTAACAGGTCGCCGACGGTCCTGTCTCCCAGAGGAGGAGTTTGCCGCGCTCCCACTTCCAGAAGCGTTGCTGTACTCCCATTCGTGTTATGGCGCGTTCGCAGCCGCAGAAGCTGCAGGTTCTACAGGGGCCGCCAAGGACCGCTCGAGAAACTCGGCGTCGAATCGCCTCAGCCGCCATTCCAGCAGGAGACAGCACAGATCACGGCACCTGGGGTGACTGACCAAACGAGGGAGATGTCTGTAGATCTAGGCTGTCACATATGTTGATGCTCTTGGGCCTACATGGAAGAAAGAGGTCAGTGGAGGAATGAATGCCGTCCCAACGGGGACCGCCGGTTATGCCGGTACAGGTCCCGGAACCAAATCTAGTGATGCATCGTGTCTCGGGTCCGTTCCTGAGGCCTGAGGTCATAGACCCATTGCATCCGACCGCGCACCGGGAGTTTAGATTGTCTACGAGGAAGGTTTAGTTTGGTCTTCGCTGAGTCGAGGGTTGGTCCGCGGGACTCGGCTGGTGGGAAAGGGATGAAGATTGCCTCGATAACCTGAAGCGAATAACATCAATTTGCCGGTTCCCTGATATAGAACGGGCAATAGGTCGAGTTTGGTCACCGGAACTGCACAATTGAATGTCAACTTTCATCCTAGAGGCGTTCTCAAAGTACCACGGTTGCCATGTGGAGGCTAACGTCAATCGACTCACAGAATTCCTGAGGCTGGTCTGAGATCGCTATAAGTAACTCCCTTTCGCGATGGCTATTAACCATTTCACGTACTTCGGCGTCTCACTGTGGCCCGCTCGTCAGTTATGCTCTCCGTACAGATTCCAGGGGCCTCCCACCGCGATGCACACCCTTTTTCGGGCTTCGTCGAGACCACCGGCGACGCTCTGCGCCTGATCCAGGCTGCGAGACAAGGCATTATACCACGTATAACGCGGAGGCTGAACGATTTCGAGCGAAGATCAATGATACGCAGCGGCGCCGTCTTCGTCTTCAGCGTAGACGAGAGTGGAATGAAACGTTGGACCGAAGGCCTTGCCTGGTCACCGTCTCGCATGTCTGGCAATTTCCTCGTAAGTCCCGTCTCTACCACTGCGCAGAGTCAGGCGATGGAGGCAACTCAACTTGGGGGTAGATCTACAGAGAGGTAACTGAGCGAACGTCGACCAGATCGGGGAGCAAGCGTCCCTACACCTCTAGCACTTCAATGTCGGACCCGGGGCCGCAGACGCATGAGCGAGACGCCTATAAACCAGGCGGCCTCGTCAAAAAGGTACGACTACAACAGCGTCATGGGAGATGCTAGAGCTGACACTCATCGTGTACAGACTATCACCGTCGACATAGATGGCGCCGACTATCACCTGATATCATACTACACCGAGGAGGATATCCACTCCGGTCGCCTGCAACGACCCCTTTGCAGACCGGACATCATGGCTATGGACATGTCTTTCGAGCTGGAGCACATGAAGCTCTCGCGAAACCCTCTCAAATTTGTTACTGGTCCCGACGGTAGACTACGGCCTTTGTAAGTAGTCACTATCGGTTTAGAGGCACTCAACTTACTCGTCGGTGTTTAGACGCGATGCCTACGACACTGGTGATCGGAAGCGCCGCGGATCTGACGCGTTAGTCGCTTCCTCGGACTGGAGAAGCCGTGGGACGTACGTACTCTGAATCTCCTTTGGAAGAATCTTTACCCATGCAATGACTTCCTATGTGGATCCGCAGTGGCACGGTTCCCGTCTCATCAACACCGGCGAGCATGCACTTGAGCTTTAGTGAACCGGTCTCTGCATCGTCGTCGAGGTCGGCAGCAGCATCGTCAACAGCTCCAATACACGGGAGAGACAACCCCGATGCCCCGCATTTATCTCCCATTGATACTCAAGCCTACTGGCTGCAAAGAGGCCATCGACCGACCTCTGCACAGTCCTACTATTCTCCAAACGATGTCAGGAGCCCGACGGGTAAGTACATTCGTCGCCGTTTCAATTCAGTTTACCTGACCTACAGAATGTTAGGATCACGATACGGCACGGAAGGCTCAGACCTCCACACCTACCCCAGTCCCGGGGGCCTGTCAGACCAGGTCGAAGGCTATTCGGGGGAGCCGAGCTCACCATCATTCCCATCATCCAACGGTCATTCATACTACGAGGGTCGTGGCGCACACTCGGCGTCCCCCCCGTCTCCCGGCACGTGGTCTTGGGGCGGCGGGAACACCCAGCAGTATCAGTACAACTCTGCGCCACCACTCGGCCACTCGCAACTTGCGAGGGGCCCAGTACCGGCTCCACACTTCACTGGCGCAAATTACTCGGTCGCAGACCAATTTCCGGCGTTCCAAAGCTACCACTGAATGGGCAGAGTTGGCGCAGTTGTGAAGGTGCGAGCGCGCCGCCGGACGCCGCGATTGCCTTGAACTTTGTCTGGCCAGCTGATCCCGACGGCTTACGAATTACCACGAATATATCCCTGTTTGGACAATCCATTGTGCCAGCATGTACATCGCATTGAATGCTTAGACGAATTGTATCGATACATATTTCCCGTGATTGCGGAGTACTGGGTTAGTTGGTTTAGCATCGATCAGTCTTTTCATAAAATCTCATCCTTCACAAAAAGTGACCGCGTACTAGACTAAGCTTGTCCACCGGTCCGTCGCTCGATAAAGCCTCGGATATTGCTGTGCCCCTCCAATGTCCCGAAGAAGCATCGCTTGGCAGGACTTTCCCAGACCACGACGTTGAGTTCTTTGGCATAATTGAGGACGTACTCGTAGTCCGCCTGGGAAGCGAAAGCGGTGTACAGGTAACCTAGCACCAGGAGACACGGGCATATAATAATCAGTGCATAATTCCACGTCCGCGGATGTAAGCCACCTTCTTCCGATTTGAGTCTGTTCCTTTCCAACTCCCACAGACGAATCTGGTCTTGCACGGTGACTGGGATTAGAGGTTTCTGATAGGACAGTGATGGTTAGGGATAGTTGCTTTGCAACGGGCTGACATACATTTTTACGCATCTGTGGGTGCGCGTGGGTGCTCAGATAACTGATGATCTACATACCAGCCAATAAGAAGTAAGCATACCCGTCTGGCAATATGCAGCGGGGTCGGACCTGATCTGCAGTAATCCCGTTTGCCAGCGCCTTCCGTACGCTATCACGGGTTATAGATCCAACCACCAGATTCGGGAAACGATACTTCAAGGTGACGAATAGATTCAATACGGCAGTTTGTAGTGGATTATCTACGGAGTGATGAGGTGGCGCACTATGTTCATTCGGAGACAACGTACCGGTGTACGCATAGAGTCGATAATTAGTCTCGAGTATTACGAAGCCCTGATCCTGTGTGCCAGCGCCGGAGCTTGTGGAAGTCGGCAAGGGAGGTAACGATGATGTCAGCGTTGTAGCTAGACGAGTTGGGCTGAACCGGCGGGACGAAGCCTGAATTCCATGAGTATTGGATATTGGGTAACCCGGACGAAGTACAAACCCGTCTTTGCCAGATCAGCCCGTAGTCCCGAAGATCTTCCAGCATGGCCTTCTGGGTGCCACTTAAACTCTCGACGGAATATTCCTAAAATCCGTGAGTATTAACGGAGGCAATACGAAGCGAGTGATTCAGTCAATACCCTTCCGAGTTCCATCGTGGAGAGCATAAATAAGAAGCTAAGGATCTCAACTAGATCCATCTCCCTCTCCTAAGACACCGGAGTTGAGATTGCAAATTTGTCGCTAGGTACATCACGCACCTCCGCCATATAGAGATATTGAAGTAATAGTTGCCAGAGCTGATCATGCGGTGAATGGAGGAGGAACTGGAACCCTGCAGATGTAATCTGGAGAGCGGACCCACTAGAAACAGCCTGTCAAACTCGTGCCCTCAACGTGTTGATGCATCGCTTCTTACTGAACCGTAGACATGAGGCCGCTACGCTGTAGTAAGAATAACACTCCTGGGGAGGGTTTCGTTGGTAATTGACCTGTCCCGGAAGAGACCATATAGTGGAGTATGGTCTAGCCGGTCGTTAAATTATCGAAGTGCTTGTAGGACATATGCGCTCACCTCCCATCGCTCGACAGCATATGCGTCCAGTGTCTCGACGGTAGCAGGCTGATGCTTGTCGTCTTTCGGTGCTGCGGTCCCAAAGCTTCCAATGGTGCCGCTTCGAGAGTAATAAGCTCATGATCGGTGTATCATGCCCAAATATACTTACCCTCCTGTTATAGCTTGTCGTAGGCTCGTTTTGAAAGTGCCGTTCAAGGAAAGTCTCACCGAAGGGTTCGGCAAGATGTGAAGTCGTGAAAGGTTCAGCAGTGTTGCGTCGTATATCCTGTTGAGACAATTCAGCAGGTGTCCTGCTCTCTGTAGTGCTGTATGATTTACTTTTTTCCTTCGCGAGTTACCCAGGCCGACATAGTGACCGCTGGGACTGGTGACTCCAGCCATAGCAGATTCATAACAATCTGCCTATCCAAGGGCGGTAGAAGACTGTGTATATGTCAATGTCTCACCAGATATACTCATCCAAACGTAATTGACCGAAATATCGACAAACAAGCCGAGGGGCGTTGGTACAAACGCGTTAGCGTGTTCTGCGACTGAGATTGTAGGAAAGGCAATAACGCGTGCGGTAGATCATCAATGACAGAGCCATTTGCACCATCTTTATTGAATTTCGACATCATTGCAAGTGTAAAGAGAGGCGAAGTACGTCCTCAGAGTGTCGGCGAGCAGGAATTGGTGGCAGGAAACGCTTGTGGCGGCAATATTTGTGCCTCGGTCACGTACTCGCGCGTCCAGTGGCGTGCGCAAAAGTTTCCTCTTTGAAAGTGGCGGAGGAGCCTACGCGTCGCCGCGTCTACTAGTACTCAGCTAGACAATAGATAAGTACTTGCAGTTAAACCACCATCTGGAAGAATGTCATCTATAACGGTACATTCAGCAGCACAGAAAAGTATGTTGATATTTTTCTATCGTCTGCATCTCCAACAATGATTTACAGACCAGCTTTCTCTCCTTCGGACTTTGATATCCGAGGATCCGAAGCGGGTGGACGCAGTGGATGAAGTGAGGACACCTCTAGTAATACACTAACGACCAGAACCTTACACATACAAGGACCAACGGACGCCACTTCATTGGGCGGCATCCACTGGATCGTTAGATGTGGCCCGATATCTACTTTCCCAAGGTGCGCAAGTAGATAAGCCGGATGCCAGCGGCTGGACGGCGCTTCATATCGCAGGTGCGATTCTGGAATAGCAAACAACATTACATATGCATAGCACTGACTTTGGGCTGTTATCTAGTCAGTGCAGGCAACGAGGACATTGTCCGTGAGCTAATAGGTGCCGGTGCCGACGTTAAGAAGACCAATAATAAGGGTCTGACACCTCTGTGTGTACGGAGAGTCTCCGAACGGTCAATCGCTGATTACTTCCTTCATAGCCATTACGCTGCATCTAAGTCTCGCGTCGATGCAAGTCTCTTTTATTCTATGAATATTCCTTCCATGACAACGAGCTGCAGGTTGCAAAACTTTTGATCGAGCGGGGCGCCGATGTGAATGCCAGAGATCGCGCGAATCAATTACCGCTGTATGCTCGGCCCCCTTTGGCACCTATATTCTCGCTGATTGCCTTGGATCGCAAGTCACCGTGCCGCTACTACAGGGTCGACAGGCCTAATCAAGGTTCTGCTTAATCCTCCTGAAGGTTCTCCGAAACCCCGTCTGAATACGGCAGATCGTATGGGTATGTTAAGTGAATATATTCGCCATCGCAAAGATTTTGACGTTTGTCAGGGAACACGCCTCTACATCTTGCTATGGAATCTGCTCATGCGGAGGCAGCGGTGTTGCTCATAGAGGCAGGAGCAGATCGCGGTCGAGTACGCTCCTATCCGTACAGCATGTACGTCACTCATTCGTGCTATTTCCAAGGTGAATCTCGAAGACGAAACTCCAGAACAAGTCGAGGGGGTAGGAGGGCAAGAGCAAAAAAGAGCCAGAAAATATGTTGCAGAGCGATGTGGGCCGTATAATCCATGAAATTTGTCTACCCAAAGGAGCTTGTTATTGACCGGGTAGACATGCCCGTGAATTTCAGAGAAATTTCCCTATAAGCCACCCTCCTATCTACTTGAATAATAACTATTCGCAGTATAATAAATACCGTAGCATTCGCTATGCCTTGTATGGGTTCGTTCAAGTTGGTTTGCAGTAGCCCTGTGGCGTGGGCAACCGGTTATCTAATAATGCCCGACTTATAGGTAGCACATGTTCGCGACCTTCTTAACAACCGAGCCACGCTCATTCCCTTCATTGAAGCGGAAATGAGTTCTTCGCCTGCTCAGCCGTTGAAGGTGAACGCGTCAGCTTCTTCCTCTAAACCTCCTAGCCAAAGCTCTACGAGGGAATCAACGCCAGCAGCAGCCCCAGCGAAACAAAGCGTTATGTCAAATCCATCGGATATCTCGAGTCCTCATGAATTGACTGCATATGTGAGTCTGTTCACCGGATGGTGGCCAAAGCATCCGCTGTTCAGCTTTCAACATATGTCATACAATAATTCTCGCTGTCAGGTGGAATCGCTCCTCGAGCAACTAGATGCTAAGTTTGATGATATGTCCACCCAGATCTTGGATCGCAGTGCGTCCATCTCCTCTCGTGCCACTCGTATTATCGATGTATTGAACGGATCTATGCATTCTTTGCCCTTCCATTGCCGTGCAGTGATGCAGATGTCCGCTAGGGTAGATGCACTCGAAGCCTCCATCCAAGATATCATCAACGGTGACGTACCAACCAATACTAGTACTACTAGCGTGCCGCAGTCACCATCGCCCATGGGCACTGCCACATCCTCGAATGCTATACCTAGGCGGGCTTAAATGCAATGCCGCCCAAGGAATAGCTGAGCCGCTGACTGAACTCGATGAGTCAAAATCGTCAGACCAACCAATGTGTGTGATTAGTTCAATGCAATAATGTTAATTGACGTTGCCTGTACATGTAAGGATTAAGTCGTAGGATAGAACGCCGGGATGCAAGGCGATAACCATTAAGCGCTGGCATGCTGTGGCATGATGGTATCGTTTTATTGGAACTTATGGGAGTACGACTGTAACAGACCGGGCTACGTGCAGGTGTAGGACTTTCATGGTAGAGACGATCGCAGTAGTTGCAATATTTCATCGAGTCGACTGCAGGCGTCGGAGGCCCTGGGTGTTATCGTCGTCGTCTCATAATTGCCAATCTGTCTTCTTTGCATCGCAGTACCCTGGCTACAGGTTCTGCGGCTTCACAACATGTGCAACAAAGAAGGCGCTATAGCTTTCGTTTCCTGTCCAAAGATATGCATTGCAACGTTCCGGGGCGAACCACATTGACATATATATGTGCCGACACGGCCACAACTTTGAGGGCCGACTGGTACATACGTATACGTTCTCAAGGCACTATATTTGTCCTCCAGGAGCTTTGGAGGGTTTATAAAAGCCTTCACACAGCATTCCAGCTAACGACAAAATGATAGAGACTCCTCGCGTCTTTCAAGATGGAGTCACGGTGACAGAGAAGGTCCCTGTCAATACAAAACAGGGTGGGAACGATGGGCATCGCAGTCCACAGCCGTCGTTCATGCACATGCTCCAAGCATGGCGTCTTTCCACCGGATTTGGTGCTTTCTTTATCACCCGAGGCTCAACGCAATGTTTTTCAGAGCCTCTATCATTTGGTCGTTAGCTGTAATCAAACACTGACGACTCATTTCCCAGCGAACTCACAACAAGAGCGGGTGCTCCAAATCATTGACATAACCCGTGTGGCATCATAGGTCTCTGCCCCAAGAATATCCGCACCATACCTGATGAATGAGTGAGCTTTGGATCGGTCCCAGCAGCCTCGGCGTCGGAAGCTGCCGATGCCCGACATCCCCTCTGCGAAAATTCAACTGGGTTTCCAGCAATCGGCGAAACGATAGAGAAGTTTGAGATTTTCCGCACTCAGCAGCCGCCCCACGGCTTACTTATTGGAGTAGGGTATCACCAATTTTGCTCCGCTAATGCTGTGTCCTGATCAAAACAAGAGTGGTGAGTCGTGGTGCACTGTGGACCCGAGTTGGGTATAATTACCTTTCCGGGCTCGGCTGCCTGCGCGAAAAATTCTGAAAGTTCTCTATCGTTTCGCCGATTGCTGTCAAGCAACATCTCCGCCGACTTTCGGAGTCAGCGGCGGCGACTCCAAGGGCATTTGGAGGCCTACTGATTTGGCTCTGGATCGATCAAAATCCGGTCATCATCTTCGAACATCGGCAACTCAGTCACCTCTGTCCGGAGAAAGCACGTAAGAGAATCCGATCCCAGCCAACGCAGGCTTTGCGCTGTTGTTCGGCTGAGATGTGCATCGAAACTCTGCGAGCTAAATTCCAGGTAGATTGCCGGAAACGAAGGTGAGCTTCAAGTAGACTTCACACAATCATATGTAACCCTATGACGTAGAAGGGAGGAAGATGCAGCCTCGTGGCCCGGGACTTTCAAGCGTGCATAGGGGTTTACTGCAGTGCAACAGACCAAGGCTCTGGCAATCTTGTGCACGATCGATCCTGTATCCTCAAGTACTTCAAGCAGTATTTCACGGAATACCGCTTGATGCTGCGTCTAGATGGCTAGACCGATTGCCACATATGAGCAGCGCACGCACGAAATCTGCCACGCGCAGCCAGCCCTCATAGGACGCGACTTGTCACAATGCCACACGCTGTGACATCTCGTATTCTTCTCGGATTCGGGACTTCTGTGGCATTCAATGTGGTCGGGCGAGCGCCACATTGGCCACAATGGTACATGTTCCGTTTCAAGTGTTACAGTTTGCACTTCGCAAAGCTCGATTCCCCGGTCGACCGGTCGACGTTGAGCCCGCATTGTCAATATGCACCGCCTAGAAGTTGTCCAGGTTCAAGCTCGGGCCTCATGATGAACCGCTCGAATAGTAAAGCGGCGACCACCTGGTTTATGCTACATTGGTGGGTGGCACGGTGACTGTCTCATTCCGTGCCTTGGTAACAAGGTGCCACACCTCAAAATAATGAACGTGTCCGCGATTCATTCTTCCGTTTCTGGATGTGGACTCTGGTAAAGCCGCCACGTTCCCGCAATCCGGTGCCACAATAGCTGCCACAACTCTACTATAAAATCCCTTGGAACTATGTTCCGTTTCCCTTACCCAAACCTCATCAGCTCTTTCCTATCTGCAATGGACTGCACCCAGGTACACGTATCAGACTGCTGTATATCATCCACTGATATCACCGCTGACGTTTGTGAATAGAGCCCATATGGACTATATAACCCCGATACTGCGCACCTGTTCTCTTATGCCGAACGAGAATACGCCGAGATGCTGGCGCTATACGAAGCCAAACCTGAGGAGGTCGATCTACAGATTGACGCGCGGTGGCCGGATGTCCACATCCCTGCCTACTCTCCACCTCCGGATGAAAGGACCAACGACTCTGAAGCAGAGCCCTCGTCTAGCGGCCAGGACATCCTTCCAGTCCCTATCTTTCCTTGTGCCACTCCGGAGGACGTCAGCCAGCGGCCTTGTACTCCCACCCCAGGTCCCGGAGCTGGAGGCTCGTCGTCTAGCTCGTCCTCTAAGCCTACGAGTACTAAGGGCCGCTCACCGTCGAAGCCGTGCACCCCGAAGAGACAGCTTCCACGTCGGGAGTGTAAAGACGTAGCTGATCGCAACCGCGAGGAAACCCTTAAAGCAAAGCAGGAGAAGAAGGAACTCAGGATGGCTCGAAAGTCCCTCAAGCCTTAGGGCGCACCACCTAACTTGCCACGGTATTTTAATCAGGGCCGGTAGCATTCGAATCCAATACCCGTCACTCATTTACGTCCGTTTATGTATCTGTATCTTGCACACTCGCATGTTTATCCCTAATGCTAGTGAAAGCAGCGTCCTTCATGTCATGAGCAATCTAACGAGTATAATAATACTAGTGATGCGCGCTCGCGCAGAGTTGCTCGCGAAGCGTAACGTGGTGTGGCGCGACACGTCGTCCTGTCATGTGGCACAGCTAGTGCACCATACACACCAACCTTGCATGCATATGGCTCAACTTACTGTATTTCGTGGCATATTTTGTGATAGGTAGGGTAAGTAAATAGGTATCATTGATTCTGGAACCTTTCCAGGCTCAATCCGAGGATATTTAAAGCTCTGTAGCAACTTATAGCTGGTCTTTGTGGGTCCCTCAGCCACCGAGAGTAGAATTTGTATATGTTTGTCGCGGACTTCTGCCCTAGTGAAGAATTGCTCGCTTCGCTCGCAACCATTGTATCAGTTACCACTAAGACCGAGCTTGCTTGCTGGTCTCGTATCAGCGGAGAGAACAATGGAAATTCACGAAGTATGGATCTCTGGTATGCATGCAACAAGTATGATTTGCTGAGTAACACAGGTCATAGACAAGTTGTTAATACACGTAAAGATGCGACAGATTATTAGACCAGAATATAAACCGCACGCCCAAAAGGAAAGCAATCACTTCCTAGCCAAAGGTGGCTGTCCGGCGGCCTTTAGGTCTGCGTTCACCTGATCTAGGTGGTTCATGAACTGGCCCTTTAAGTTATCCCACATCTTGGGCTCGTGTTCTAAAAGCTCATCAGTTCTGCGATCGCCAGCTAGGTTCGTTCCAAGACTTACCATGCAACTTGCCGGTCCTCTTCATCGCGTAGTCGGTGAGTGTGAACATCATGCTAGACTCGAACATGAAGGCTATGCGTGTATTATAAATAACGGCTGCCTCGAAGCGTACTCAATCCTACGTACCAATAGTGTCTTCGTGGACCCTCATCGGCTTAAGCTCCGTCTCGGTGGCAGCCTTAAACTCGTCATAAGACACTGAAGGGCGTTGTCAACGACAGGTAGGGAACGCGTTTAATATATGACATACCACCGTGTGGGCAGAAACCAGTTTCATAGCTGGCTCCTCCAGGAGCGAATTCATCACTGCGTCCACCGTAATTTCCATAGATAAGACCCATGAATTCGGTAGCAGCGTTGCGATGGTAGTACTGGAGACGACATAAGTCATAAATACCAGTACCATTTAACCAGACTCACTGGCGGCCTGAAGGTTTCCATCGCAATATCCCATCTAGGACTGAAGATCAAGAAATCGGCGAGAGGCGTGCCAGGGGTCTTCGATTTAGCCGTGAGGACGCAGAAGATAGATGGATCGATGTGGTCTTTTGAGATACTGCCAACGTTGATGAACTTCTCCATGGCGTACTTGTATGGGACATAGCTATCGACACCCATGAGTCAGCACTGAGACAACGACAATCGAGCGGGTCTCATTCACTTTCCATGCCAAGCTACAACATCGAAGGGGGTATGCTCCTGCTTGCACAAGAAGAGCTGGCCGCAGACCCTAGAGTAACGTCAGATGCGATTGCCTCTTGACCCAGGGGTGAAACATACTTGTAAACGACTGTCAGAATTGTTACGTCAATCAGGTATAGCGGAGATTATGAACGGATACATTACTCACTCTCCCATGGTGATTGATCAATGTCGAAGCTTGCGACGGGAACCTCGAAGTCTCGTGGGTTCGCCAAACCGTTAGCCCCCAAGGGACCGAGCTCGGGCAGTTCGTAGTGAGAGCCAAAGATTTCCTGAATATCTGGGGAGAGTTCAGCAAAAGCCGAACGTTTGCGACGTCAGTACGTACATCCACGGGAGGGTCCATCGGGCAAGATGACTTTGAATTTCATGCCGCGCTGGATGACCACCAACTCTCCCGGCCGAACCATCAACCTGGAAACCGTAAATACACGTTAACGTCCGGGTGCGAATAAACGGATACTTACTTTCCGTACTCAGTTTGTATGTCCAAACGACCTTGTTGAGGTAGGATCAACATATCACCATCGTTGTTGCAGAAGGCCTGATTCTCCATAGAGGCGTTGGCCATGTACATGTGCACGGCAAGACCTTCGCGTAGTGTGGGGTCGCCGTTCCCTGCGAGCGTCTTCAATCCGGTTACGAAGTCAACTTTGCCGCTCGATGGGATCTCCAGAGGATACCACGCGAGTTGGGTGGCGCTGACATGGACTTTGGGATTTGAAGGAGAGAAATTCGACTCAAGCTAAGTCGGGTGTGAGCAAGGCCATCAGCACCACGTGGTGCAAAGACGTACGTCAGGATTGTCTGGTAACTTCGTGAAACCTTGGTGCGCTACTGAAGGTCGGATCTTGTACAGCCATCTAGGAGCACCCACATGTCACTCAGCGGAGAGTGGGTAGTGTGGTTGAGCACACATACGCATTCTTGTTCTCCGATCGAGGAGCAACAAATGATGTGCCGGTCATCTAGGTGTCGGAGTAAGTCAGCGGGCGTAACGACGACTCCCTCGAAAGACCCACCTGCTCGGCGTAGAGGTCATACTTGCATTTCTGCGGATTGTTTTGGCCGACAGGGAGTGTTCCAGGCCTGTGCAAAATTATTCGAGATGCCCTGGATTAGTCGGACAAGTGACTTACACTGCCTCCGAGGCAAAGCGGTTGCCGAATCCGACCTGGTACGTGTAGGGATCCTTCTCGGTGGGCTTGGTCGAGAAAGAGCCAGCGGCTGTAGCACCGGGAACTGAAGATAAATGACGCCTCCCGGACGGAATCTGAGCAAAACAGTTGTAAGCTTTAGTCCATCCCAGGGTAAGTGGCTACTGAGTACGAACAGTTGTTCGTCTCAGCGATCCTGTCACTCTCGGTGCACGGCTCGCTGCGGTAGCAACCGCCCTTGATGCCTTGCTGCAGCGGCTGACGGATGAGACTGCTCGTCGAGAAAGCATCATCGACCTCAAAGTACGGACAGGACAAGGCGCCACAACGCCTCCGGGGAGGATTTATGGCTCGTCATGCATAAAGGATTCATGCTAAATGGCTCTGCAAATTCATTTGAGGCGAACTGACGGATCTCGTCTACGCACCATGCCTCCTTGAGAAGGGCTTGCCATCATCGCGACTACGGTGGACGGGTCATTTGAGCACCAAGGCCATTAACCTCCAGGATAAATGGATTTTCCCACACCCAGGTGACTTCTTTTGCGATCTTACCTAAGCACATCAACACTGAGTTCACGATCACTTCAATACCCCGTGGGGCAAAGCCTAAGACTGCGTCAGCTAAGTTTATTGTCTAACAAACACACGGGATGAACTGCTCATCTACTCCTAGAGACCGATAAAAAGTTGCGGAAGTACGCCTTGGAATACTAGGCGAACCTTTTGATGGCACATAGGCGTCTTCAACTTGGGCCATAATTTCTCAGGCGGTCCGCGACTCCTCGGGGTGAACAGTAGCAACACTGGCCACTCGATCGCAACGAATCAGGCGCTTCCGCGGTACAGAGCACCTGCCAGGGCTCGGCCTGCACGGCTGATAGGAGATAGCGCAGCCAATACCGACTGCAGATCGACCGGTCGACCTTTTCGGCACGATTCTCTCGCAGTCATGTCCGAGCATCGCTGCCTGAGTTTGTACACCTTCGTATCCATACGCTCTGCGAGCTTGCAGGTTATATGCAATAGGCTGAACGCCCTGAAGATACATTGGAAGAGGTGATCGTCAGCACCACGGCTACCCGTCGTCTGGATATTGCGTCTCCAGCGCTAGAGGGGTCCGGGGTGCCGCCGGCTGTGTAGCAGGAAGGGAAGTCGTAGCGCAGCTAGTACGAGGTATAACGATGTCCGTCTAAGGACCTGCAGGGCGATCAATGTTCCGATTCTGTTCTTACACCACTATAACGCCGATTGAAGGCAGAGGTACTTCCACGGTTGTTCAGTGAGCTCTAGCGACCAGAATGATGACAAACGGCGTTACGCCCTTGTAATCAGAAGTTCCAGAGCAAGCAAGTGGAAGTCCTGTATTGACCTCAATCCTGGGTGTCCGTCCCTGGATGATACTGAACGTCACGTCACATGTCTTAGCGGGCTCCTTCCTGCTCACCGTTAGTACTGAGTGCTTGTGATACACTAGTCTTCTCAATTAGTTTCGCGATCGCGCAGTCAGTACGCAGACCTCATACAGGATTGCTGGAGCTGGCACTTCTCCAAGTAGCTTGACCAGTAAGCGCGCGGAGAGGTGTGGCATCATCGTGTTATCGAATTAGGCTATTTGACTACGAGATGCACCTTCCAAGGCCTTCATATTCGTCTCCACATCAGATATGTGGCGCTTGGGCGGCTCCGAGCCACCCTCCGGCAGTCTCGACCAAGTAAGAACCAGCATAAGTCCGAGGACGAAGCGGAGGTAGAGATCTTGTATCTCCGCGGTACCAGCAGCTTTCGACGGAGTTTTCATAAATGCAGGAGAGTGCATGAGTCATTTGCATCGGGTTCAGGGTAGAGCAATAGAAACTTCAGCGACGATCAGGGCAATAGTAGTCGGCCGTCCGGACCGTCCTCACGAAGAGACAGATAATCACCGCGATGAACAACGCGCTAGCATGGCCCATCGAATGCACGGTATTCGAAGAAGACTTGTGATAGACGAAAACCGCGATAGGTATCTTTCTGTCGGAAACGCAAGCACTGGACCATGGCTTGACGTATTCACTATGGCATCCGACCCTGAGTCTCGAAAACAGGCTTAAGACACAGGCTCGAAACCAGAAATATGTCTCCGAACCTAGATGCAAGATGGAAGACTAGCACGCCCTTCGGGGCCTCGCTCCAGTAGTAACAAGTCAGTCCAGTGGGTAGCGCCTGGTCCAGACAATCCATTAGCCCTTGAAATTGCGGTATCCAGTGGAAACAGATGTCTTGGCGAATACGGATAGTACGGGGGAAAGAGCGGTTCAAATGGAGCCAAGATGCATGTTTCCCAGAATAGTGTGGTTTCGAGAAAGCCCGTACAAGGATGCTTCTGTCGTTCATCTGACAGCGTTGTCCCAGTTCGCTAGGGCTGTAGAACTTTCTAGCTGAGTACCTCAAAGATGTTCCAGGAATGCAGGGTGATTGCGAGGCGAACTTACACAGATGCCAGTCTTTCAGCAGTACGCCGAAGGACACAAATCATGAGTAAATTTCCGAATATAATCGCATCGAAGCTTCGATTGGTATTTGAGTCCTGATTACTCGAAGTCTTAATAAACGAGCCCTCGACAAAATGCGATATAGTTACGCTCCACCTGTTAGTAAACAGGTAGGGTGGGGAGCGAAGGGCAGGGGACACAAGGCACATTGTGCTGCGTGCAGCTAGGCTACGACTCGCCAATACACCGTCCTAGTTCTCGGGCTTGCTATAGTGTCGGAACTCCGACCAATATCAGCCCGAGATCTCCGACATGACCCACGAGTTCGTGGAGAAAATAGGAAAAAAATATCGCATAGCCTGGTAGACATGACCCACTCACCCGAATTACGGGTCGCCACGTCTAGTTCGAAGCAACGGAGCAGCTACGAGGGACCACAGACGACGTCGCGGGGAACTCAGAGCTCAGTCGAAGGATCAGATTACGTTCGTTCACAAAGAACTCTCGACATACTGAGGTATCATCGCGAGAGCCAGTTTAGATAGACTTCGGGGCAGAATGCAGGTCGGATACAATCTTACCACCGTCTGATGCGCTTGATCTTGGGTGGCAGATGTCCCAACGCAAGGTTATCCGACAGACCCTCAGGCGATGCCGACGACCGTGCCTGACAAGTGAGGAGGCTTGTTCGGGCGATTGCTTGATAAATTCAACAAGCCCAATTATAGCGTTTGAACGCGAGTGATCGGAGTGAATAACGGCGAGGTTCAGGCGACAGCGAACCCGTCGCGCATCGGTATTTTCCGCAAACTCGGTTATCGAGAAGAGGCAGGCGAGTAGCAACGTCCTCGCTTGATGAGAACACGTTGTGGCTTGCCAGTGACGCAATGAGGTGCGGAGGTGCAGTGACAGCCATTTGTAGATCAATACAACGACTCAACTGACTTCCGAGCATGTTGTCCGAAGGAACTGGATGGAGTCGACCATGGGAAACGGGTTCACCAAAACAGCAGGACCTGGCTAGAGAGAAGGAAAAGACACTTGTCTGTTTGTGCAAAGAATGGAAGGATTCAGATCATTAATTGACGCTATCTGATTTCCCCGAGTGCCGGCGGTCTCGTGTCAGCGTCTGTGCGATGCAGAGGAGCGAGAGCCCGCGCACCTGGGGTGCCCCATGGTCGACGCAAGTCGCAGCGTACCAGATAACTGGTCGCAACATGACAGAGTCGTGGAAGTAGTGATAAAGTAGAGTTAGCTGGTCCGCCGTCGCAGGAGGACTCCGTGAAGATGGAGATAAGCCAATTGAGCTATCTCAGTCTGACGAGTGTACCATCACTCACTACTTTGTTGGTCTTCACGGCTTTTCGATAATGAGGGCGGGGAGCCGCTCCGAGTCCTCTGAATCCTGAGGCCAGTGACAAGGAGAGGTAATTTGCTCATGTGGGTGCAGTGGAAAATGCGGGAAGTATTTTATAAAAACATATATGTCAACGCGAGATGAGCTTCTAGCATACAGGTACAGTTGCTGGACGTGTGGTGAGTACCACCATCACGTCCTTTGAAACGGCAGACACGAGTCTGAAATTGCTGCCACAACTGATGTGGCACGTGGATCTTCCCGCGGTATTCTCTAATTAGACGCCCGGCAAAGCCAGGCTGCAATTGCAACTCAACTTCAGCTGTGAAAGACCGTAAAGACTTCAGGCTAAAGTAGAACGGTTCGTCGCTATGAAGCGGACACAAGGCAACTCGCCATCATCGCCGATAACCGTCTCATCGTCCCCGGTGCACAAAAAGATGAAAGTTTCGCCGCCCGTGGCACAAGGCATTGTCCAGCCCGACATGAATGACGATGGCGGTGACTGGTTCAAGGTCGAAAAAGGGAAGGCGAAGAAGATGAAGAAGAAGGTTGCAAAAGTGGAGGTATGAGCTCTGACTTGCATGCAAAACTTGTCGAAATGTCTATGGATAGGCGAATCCCCCGCGGTTTATGTATAACAAGGCAGAGATCATGAAGAGGAGGGAAGCAGTGGGCGTTAATGTGAGCTCACTCCTCCTTTATGGGTCTGGCTGACGAGAGGACAGGATATTCGCGACTTGATTCTGCACATCGTTGCAGACGCCCCTCCGCCATCGTGGGTTCGAGTTGAGGTATGGCTCGCGCTACTCGTCCTCTCGTTCATTCCAACCAACTGGGTCAGAACCCTCGGTCTATACCAAAAGTCGTAGCCCTATTGATACCGGGTCTTACTCCCGACATCCTTGCTCTGCCTCCTCTTCCGACGTCTGCGACATCCAATCCGAACGTGCCCATATCAGTGCCTGTCCCCTCCACATCCAGTTCACAACCCGGTGTCCCTTTCATATCCTCGACATACAGCCATGCGCTACCGACGCGAGCGCCTGGGGATGCTACAAAGATGCACTCTGTGATGGCGGAGTTCTTTCACGGGCCCGTCACGGGCGAGGAACAGAAACGAAGGCTACAGCAGCGGGTCGCGTGTATGGCCATATTTTACTCTCCGTCATCTTACCTGTCATTAACGTCGATATCGCCCAGCTGAGCGAGCCTTCGGAAAGTCTCCGTCAAGTTACCTCCTGACCCTCGACCAGATGATCGAGAACGACTACCCCGTCCCGTCGTACATGAGCAGCGCTTACGAGAAGGCTGATGGGTGGGTCGAGACACCCCAACCCGAGCCCTCATCAAGCGCACAGGCAGATTCTCCCGTGTACGCCATCGACTGCGAGATGGTAAGCCCCTCGTTGTACACTACGGCATCCCAAACCTTCACATCCAAGGCAGTGTCTAACAGAAGACGGGAAAGAACTGGCGCGCGTATGTATTATTGAGTATGCCACTGGCAAAGTCATCTACGACCGGCTCGCCAAGCCGCAAAAGCCCATCCTGGACTACCTCACGCGGTTGGTGGTCTTCCGCCTTTGCTCCCGTACGCGTAGTTGATTGTGTACCAAGGTGGTCAGGCATCACAGCAGAAGCTCTGGCACCCATAACGACGACGTTCGAAGAAGTGCAATCAGAGATCCTCGCCCTGCTCTCTGCCAAGCCTACCCCCATTCTACTTGGCCATTCACTGGAATCCGACCTCAAGACCCTCAAGATCTGTCATCCATATTGCATCGATACGGCAATCCTGTTCCATCATCCTCGAGGGCGGCCATTTAAACCTGCCCTAGCGTGGCTGACGAAGAAATGGTGTGGTCGGATTATCCAGGCACGGGGGGAGGGAGGGCACGACCCAGAGGAGGACGCCCGAGCGTGTCTGGACTTGTTGAAGAAGAAGGTCGACAACGGTAGGTCGACCTCTCCTTTTTTTTCAGCGGCTGCAATTGATTTCCTTATGTCCGAAAGGTCCAGGCTACGGCGAGTTCAAGACCGACATGGAGTCTATCTTTGAGCGGATGGCTAGGTCGACTGGACATGGACCGACCCCCATCCGGTCGGCCGTCGTGGATCATGGCAATCCGGCTTCCATGCACGGCGCGAAGGCCACTTCCACCGTCGCCTGCAAGAGTGACGAGGAAATATTCGAAGGGCTGCAGCGGATGATCTCAGATCACCAGTTCGTATTCGGGAGGTTCAATGCTGTCGCTGACGCACTGGGATGTAAGCGCAGTCTTATAAGGGTATTTACCGCACTACAATCCTTCCCCCAGGGATAACAAACCGATCGCCTGATGCGCCTCCAAATGCCGAAATGGAACCAGTTCCGGAGCCGGATCTGAGAGCTATCCTCGACAGATTAAATGCGCAGTTGACGGCGCTCTACGCGTCTTTGCCGCCTTACACTGCCCTCGTTATTTTTACCGGGCACTCAGATCCGCGTGCGATGTCGGCGCTGAACGCACGCAAGTCTGCGTTTGAAAGCGCGCTGAGAGAAGGGAAGACCCTATCGGACCTGGATAAGGATAGCTGGTGGACAAACCAAGATGCGCGAGACCTGGAGGAGCAGGTTGAGCGGGCAAAGCGGGGGTTGTTGTTCCTCAACATCAAGTAGGGGGGATTCTGTTTGTTCGCCGCTGTATTCCGATTCAGGCTTTCTGCCATCTCTTTAGACTCATGTCGTATATGAATCGAGAAGGTTGGCTTACCTTACGGCTTCCTCCTGTTGGTCGCTGTCCGAGGGATTCAGAAGTTATGATCAACGCTGCATGCGTCATTCCTGGCCAGCAATAGGTCTCCCTGACAGCACTACAACACTTTCCAGGGATAATCGTTTCCGATTGATGTCGTGAACGCGCGGACATGATATCGCAGCGATTTCTCAGCTGCTCACCAAGCAAACGCCGGTCTTGACCGCTCAAGATACCCGGTCCACCAAAGGAAAGCGCCTTCTCGCGTCTGCTGAGCAGTTGTCCCTGTATATCACAAATTATCTCAGGAAATCAGAGATGAATACGCACGTTGCTAGAGCCGTGAGCGACTCGGGAACGCCTGAGTAACAGTCGATCCCCCGTATGTTTCAAGCAGACGAAAAGGTTGATATTTTGTGTTGCCAGCGTTTCTCAGACATTCGAAACGATATCTTTCCTATGCCCTGTTCCGTGTCAGCGAACAAAATATAAAGAGCGTCCACGGCGTTGTGCCGTGGTAAGTTGTAATCGGCCACCAACGTTCCCCCCCGCAAGCGTCATAGACCGCTGACGGCGCGTGAGAAGGATCGGAGCGATTGACCGACTATCGATTTTGTACTCTTCGTCAGCGTTCTCGTTCTCATCCACCTACCATCACCATCATGCCCGGTGCAGACAGCGCGTTCCCCATCGACCTCAAGAAGTTCAAAAAGTGAGTGGTTCAGGCACGCTGGAAGACGCGTCTGACGGCGAGCACAGGCTCCAGCTTGACCCGTCGAAGCCGCAGCTAACGGAGGACCAGAAGTCTGCGCTCCTTTTCAACATCCAGCTCCTCCGTGATGCGATTGTTTTGTTCACGGCGACGGGAGCAGCAAGGGGAGTGAGTGGGCACACTGGTGAGTAGTATATCGAACGCGCATATCGCGAACTCGGACTGAGATGTGCATATAGGTGGTGCCTATGACACTGTGCCGGAAGTTGTAATGCTCCTAGGGCTGTTTGAATCGTCGGACAAGTTCTACCCTACCGTCTTCGATGAAGCAGGTGAGTGAACTACGCCATGCGTTGCAGTACTAAGGCTGACTACGAAACCACAGGTCACCGTGTCGCGACGCAGTACCTCTTGTCTGCCTTGCAAGGTCACATCCCCGCCGAGCACCTCCTCCACTACCGCGAGGCCAACTCGAAGCTCCCTGGACACCCCGAGCTCGGCCTGACGCCAGGAGTCAAGTTCTCCTCCGGCCGCTTGGGACACGTCTGGCCGCTCGTGAACGGTGTCGCGATGGCCAACCGCGACAAGACCGTATTCTGTCTGGGCTCGGACGGCTCGCAGCAGGAGGGTGACGACGCTGAGGCCGCTCGCTTGGCTGTTGCCCAGAAGTTGAACGTGAAGCTGCTCATTGATGACAATGATGTCACGATCGCCGGCCACCCGTCAGAATACTTGCCCGGCTACGATCTGACTAAGACGCTCCAGGGACACGGTCTCAAGGTTGTTACTGTCCAGGGCGAGGACTACGATGCGCTCTGGGGTGGTATCTGCGAAGTTATCAACTACGACGGACCCGCGGCCGTTATCTCCAAGCGTGTTATGGCTCCCGGCATCCCTGACATCGAGGGCAGCTCGCACGGACACGACGTCATTCCGGTCAAGTCTGCGCTCAAGTACTTCACGGCGCGTGGCTACCCAGAGTCGATGGCGTCGGACATCTTGCTCAACATCAAGCCCTCGTCCGTGCCGTACTTGCACGTTGGTTCTACGAAGGAGGTCGGCGCCAACCGTGTTGTCTTCGGTGAGGCAGTTAACTCGGTCCTGGACGAGCTGAGCAAAGAGGAGGCCGCGAAGAAGGTCATGGTCATCGACAGCGACCTCGAGGGCTCGACTGGTCTCAAGGCCATCCACCAGAAGCACCCCGAGGTGTTCGTCCCGTCAGGCATCATGGAGCGCGGCAACTTCTCCGCGGCGGCGGGCTTCGGGTTCGCCCCCGACAAGTTCGGCGTGTTCAGCACGTTCAGCGCGTTCCTCGAGATGATCATCTCGGAGGTGACGATGGCGCGGCTGAACCACTGCAATGTGCTCTGCCACTTCTCGCACTCGGGCGTCGACGAGATGGCGGACAACACGTGCCACTTCGGCGTGAACAACTTCTTCGCGGACAACGGTCTCTCGGACACACACTCGTGGCTATACTTCCCCGCGGACCCGTTGCAGATGACGAAGATCGTCCGCAAAGTGTTCTTTGACCGCGGCATTCGCTTCGTGTTCTCGACCCGCTCGAAGGTGCCATACATCCTCAAGGAAGACGGCAAGACCAAGTTCTTCGGAGACGACTACGAGTTCGTGCCCGGGAAGGATGAGGTGATCTGCGAGGGCAAGGCCGGGTACGTTGTCAGCTACGGCGACATGCTCTACCGCGCCTGGGATGCCGTTCTGCGGTGCAGGCAGGAGGGCCTGGACATCGGTCTCATCAACAAGCCGACTTTGAACTTGGTTGACGAGCAGGTGCGTTGCTTTGATTAGGGTTCCGCGGCGCGATATTGATGGGAGATGCGTAGGCTATCAGGAAGTACGGCTCCAGCCCCTTCGTCCTCGTCGTCGAGTCTCTCAACCGGAAGACTGGGGTGAGTATCGCATCGCGTAGGTTCTTGGTCCTTATTCTTACCCGTATGGTTCTGTAGCTTGGGTCTAAGATGGGTACCTGGTTGCTCGAGCGTCAGCTCACGCCCAAGTACGGCTACATGGGCACCGTCAAGGAGGGCTGCGGTGGGTTGCAGGAGCAGATCCCCTTCCAGGGCTTGGACCCGCAATGTGCGTATCTATTGTCATTTTCAATATGCGGTTCTGCTAATTTCCGTGTGAACAGCGATCATCGTCAAGATCCACGAACTGTCTCACAGCAATGCGAAGACGATCTAAATGCAATGTCAAACATAGACGGGGGTGTACGAGCGCAGTATTCATGGATTTGTACAAAGAACGGCACATGTATAGATGAGATAACATTGTTTCCGTGCCAAATGCGAAGCGTGACAATACTGTTGGTCTGACTGGTAGGATGCATCGGAAGTTCAAGTTTGTATAACACAACATTGTGGCATCTGCGTGAGTGGCCGAAGCAAGGAACAAGTTGATAAACAAGACAGCATTTCTGGGGCGTAGGATAAGCTCCATCACCAGGATATTTACCCTTTCTTCACTGTCTTTCCGCCTTTGCGCTTCTTGCCCTTGGGCTTCTCGGATGGGCATGCGGGCGCTGGCTGAGGCGCAATGTTTGTCGAGTCATATACCTGTTCACCCTGGGCTCCCGATGCAGGTGTCGCAGGAGAATGTGCGCTTGTCATGGGGAAAGCCGATACAACGCTTCCGGACGCCGCAGTGAAGTTGAAGGACTGCGTGACTGCTGGCTGTGGAACTTGGGGGGACAGGCCAACTGGAAAAGTGGTGTCTCTATTAGATGCTGGGTGCCCCCAGCCCGCTAGACCCCAACCCCCTAGTACGCGATTGGCCGGAGGGGAGGGAGGACATGTAGGTTCCGCTTTATCCGCTAGAGGAATGACGGGATATGCAGGCCCCGCTTCACCTGCTTGAGGAGCATCTTCCTGATCACCCGCCTCACTCGCGGATTCTGACTCGTCATCGCTGTCCTCTGGACCATTCTCCGCGAGGAGCTTGAACTCAGTCTCGACCATAGACTGGAGCGTGGCGTCGGGCTCGGGAGCAGGCGGAGGGACAAAGTAAGTGCTGAGCCGCCTGCGCTCCCGCACCCGCGCGACCCTCGCCGTATCCTTGGCCCCGATACGTTCTGCCTCTTCGTCGGACAGCGGAGCCTGTCTTTCGCATACCTCGCGGTACGCGTCCAGGAGCCATTCCTTGATGTCGAATTTGTGCGCCAGGACGATCCTGTCGAGAGGCGACGCGAGGGGGAAGACCTCCCGGATCGCCAAGAGCCGAATGGAGTCGAATCCCCACTGCGTAGCGAGGGCCAGGATAGACGTCCATTCTTCGAGCGTCGAAGCCGTGTACTGATGGAATGCACTATCGGTATGAAGATCAATGTCTGAGAAGGAGAACCGGGAAACGCAAGCGTACGCAGGATAGAGGACGCCCAAGAACCGCTCGAAATCGAGCGCGTTGCAGTCGGTGAGCTTTATCGGGCTGCGATCTACATTTTCGCGCAACAGCTCTCTGAATACCACCGAGTCGCGCTTGAAGAAGAATTTGTGTACGCGGAAGAGCGTGCCTTGTATCTAGCGCGAGCTTCGTGAGTATCCGGGAAACCGATCGAAAGTATGAGCGGAACATACCAGGAATTCAACGTTGCCATCGTCGAGATAGTACGACTCGTGCCTCTCACCCACAGGCACTGTAATGGGCGGCTGTGTGGGTGGCGAAGGAGTCTCCGGCCGGAAGGAGCGACCTCCTGGACTTGATGATGGAGGATAACTATATCTCGGGACTGGTGAAACTATAGGTGGTGACTGTACAGGCAATCCTGCAGTGGCTTGAGTAGAAATCGGAGGGCTGGAGGGACGCAGCTGATACGGTGGACTCCTACATAGCGGCGGGCTGCCTGCTATGCTCGGCGTGCGTGGAGGAGAGTACCCAGGGGATATGCTTGAGCATATGCTTCTAGTCCCCGACTGCGCCCGAGTGGACGGCACGCTGGACAGATGCGGGGATGTCGTCAGGTTCGACACGGGAACGGGAATGTGCACAAAAGGCGCGTTCGTCGACTCGGACGAGCTGGAGAGACCGCGATTATTCGTTGGTCCTCCATTGCCGACATTAGGGTTGACCGACAGCTCCCTGACGAGCGCAGGTAGCAAGCGTTGGATCAACTCTTCGACGCGCTGCGGGTCCATGATATTTGGTTATGTGGCAAGAGTCGATTCACTGAGGGTGCTCCGAGTCCAAACAGATAGCTTCAGGACGAGTATATATAGAGCCTCGTACCCACACACATGTTGATGACCTGCTTCCCCAATTCAATCAAAGCTTGTACAGGTCAAATGAGCACCCACTGTGGAAGTCTCCGGGTTGGTGCTCTGCTATAGCCTGGACGGATAAGCGTTAGCCAAACTGCCTCGAATCGATGGACCTAGGTCTCCCATTCAATCATCGCCAGGTTTGCGGACATATCATCAGCGCCGCACAACTATCGGCTCTAGCGAGAAATCCGGGAAATACCTTAGCAGGACGAGGTGTTCAGACAATACTAGGTGACTGTTGGGTGCGTCAAAGGATCATAGCGATATGTGTTTCTCCTGGTGTCGCGGAAGGACACGGATAACATCAACATTACAGCACAGCAGAGGCACGATCAGTAATAGAGTAATACATATGTACGGCGGGGACCTCGGTACCTAGCTATCGATTGACGTTCTCGAGTTAAAAACGCGTTTCGACACCAGCCGCAATTTCCCTGTACTGTGCTCTTTTGCATATGCCACACATGCAGCACTGCTGATCCTTGCCCGATGCGGGTAGTGCAGAGCTTCTGGTGACCGGGAAGTTCTGCACTTCTGCATCTTGAGAGGAACAACGCTGAGAAGGTGGCAAGGATAAACGTTTCTCCTCTGCCAAACTATCCGACTCCTGGATACTTTGTAATTCCGGAGCAGTTGAAGGGGGAGGAGAGATCGGCTGTGCCAGTGCGAATGTAGGAAATGTACTGTCATCAGTCCTCGTCCCGTATTCTGGGTCACTATTCTTTTCACTATCGCAGATCTTCACGGGCAAATGCAAATGGAACTCAGCCTCCATCAAGGAGCGTAACCTCGCTTCGCTGTCCGAGGCGCCTAGGTCAGGGCTGAGCATCCGTCGCTCTCGTAGTCTCGCGACCCTTGCAGTATCCTTGGCCCCGATACGTTCCGCCTCTTCATCAGACAGAGGATCCTCCCTCAAACAAACGGCCTCGTAGGCGTCCGGAAGCCACACCCTGATATCATACTGTCGGCCGAGCACGATCTTGTCAATAGGCGACGCCAGAGAGAACACTTCCCGGATAGCCAAGAGCCGAATACTCTCGAAGCCCCACTGAGTCGAGAGGGCCAAGATGGACCTCCATTCGTCCATGGTAGTAGCGTCGTGTTGATGAAACGCGCTGATTCGGACGATCCGCAGTCAGATGAGGACAAACCATAAACTACACATTGCTTACACAGGATACAAGACGCCCAGGAATCGTTCGAAATCGACGGCGGTGCAGTCAGTGAGGCGGACAATAACATCCCGAGGGTCTGAGTTGAGGTCCTTGAGGATTACGTCCCTGAATCGAGCGGAATCGCGTTCAAAGAAGAAGCGGTGCACTCGGAATAGGACATCTTCGAGCTAAAGACGCAAAGCAGTATTTAGTGGCTAACATTCCCTATGGGTAAAGCTACGACGCGTACCAAGAATGTGACATTACCATCCTTGAAGTAATATCGCTCATGTTCCCGTCCATTAGGTGCAGTGGAGTCTGGGTAAGGCGGAAGGGCGACGGCTGGCGCACCACCCTGACTGCCTGCGCTCGTCTGCTGCCGATGATTGCCTGTGAGAATACCTGCACTCGCCCGCAAAACGCGCATGGGGCTAGAGGGCTGCAGCACCTCATTGGGACGAGGAGTAATAGGACGAACGTCGTCCGCTTGCCTCCCGCCAGGGCTAGACGTTGGCACCCCAGCTGCAGCGCAGCTCCAACTCGAGCTCCTGGAGATACTGATGCTACGGACTGACGACGTGGACCGCACAGATGCACTGGGAGGGCGAGTAGACAAGGTGATGCCGGACTCGCCGGCTGCGTTCGCAGACGAGTCCTTCATCATTGCCGCCATGCATTTGTAGACCATCCCGCCCTTATGCTTCGCTTGCTGTGTGCCCATGGACAGTGCGCCCTTGAGATTCGGATGGAGTGAAAGATAGCTCGAGCTGACGAAGGGGCCGGTTGAGCTGTTTGAGTTATATATGAAGGCCGCAGTACCTCGTGGGTCATGCATGCTGGTCTTCTGAGATTCATTAGTAACAGTACAATTCGAACAACAGTCGCCCGCAATTGAAACCTTATATGTAGCCGCCTCTTTCTGAAACCCCCCGAGCCTGATAACGCAGGGGTCAACCGAGATGCAATTCTTAGGCCGAGCATCGTTTGTCCTTGATATATGTATCTCCATCGTGAACTGATACACAGGACGCGGAGTGGACATACACGTCTGAGAGTACCAGATCTCCTGTCCTAGCCATCACGGGACTTAGTTAACGTGGATAATCCGTGTACCAATGTACAAGCTCGATCCGCACCATACTCTGGCTTCACACTCAACACATTCAAGAGCGGTAGCTCTCGAACCCTCGCGGCTTCGGGATCTAGTTTCAGGGACTCCGAGGGTAAGAAGCAAAGGTAGCGGAGATCGCTGCTTCAAGTTGGTCTGTCTTTGGGGATCGAGCCGAAAGGGGAAAGGGGGGGATGAGAGCTGATGGAAAGCTGTAGGGGGACCGCAAGCTATCTATGAAGGAGCCATGCCTCATGTAGACAGTTGCGCGTACGCGTGTTGTTCTCAGGCTGGACCTGCTTCGAAAAAGTAATACGAGACGAATCAAACAAGATGCTTACAAATCCAATCGAGCCGTACCAGCATCAAGATGTTGCTCTCTACTCCTCGAAAAAGTAATGTAAGTATCCAGACAGCCCAGGGTGATCAAACACAACTACAATGTTGAACGTCTGAACTCACGAGCGAGGGCCCAGGTGCATGCTGGTGGCTCCGTCGACACTTTACCGTCGGCTTTTAGCCAGCACCTGTAAGTATTGTGAGCTATGCCTGGTACCTTTGACGCGGCCCTTGTGGCGAGTGTCGTTGTCACTCATCAAAGGGATTAGTGCAATAAACACTGTGATAAAGTGATATCCACAGATCAATGACGTGACACTCACCAGGGGAGTGTCATTGGTATCACGCTGAAGTGTCACTGGCACTAATCAGAGTACAGTAGCACCTTAGGTACTGAAATAGTGCCCAGGACACTAGCAAGAAGGATGATACCGGGCGTAGCTCACAATACAAGCACCTTTACTTCGCGCAATGAGGAAGAGTCAACTGAGAAGGCGACCGGAGCTCACCCTTCCTCCTTCCTCCTACCTCCTAATTTACCGCTCCCCGTCCAACCCACTCTACCAACCACCGACGTCGAAGACGATGATTTTATACAGGGACTCGACATGGACTCACTTGAGACCGTTACGACGAGTTTGTAGCAAGTCGGCCGCAGCACTTGGGAGCATCGACCAGACTTTGACGCTCGCGGCTCGGGCTAAGCTCGTGTATGCGATATGCTATGTGCGCATGCGTGTCCTTTATCCTTATGAGTCTCTACAGCATATCCCAATTTTACCGGACAGTAGGAGCGCTTTTCCCGTTTCTTTCGCAACTAGATCGGTAGACGATAAAGAAGCGCTTGAAGGCGGTGTTCAAGTTTGGCACGGTGGGCAGACAGGAACGTGTTCTCCCACCGCGCTCTCGTTGTGGCGTACGACTTTGACGACCGCGCGGCAGTAATCAGAAACAACCTTAATTTGCTTTCGAGACCTCTGGGCTCAAGGGGTACAGACTTGGTGAGGTTCACGAGGTTTCCTCGTATGCAGTCTGTTCTGAGTGCATATTATATACCCAGTTTGACCGTGAAGGACTGGGACATTTGCATTACGGCCCTCTAACCTGCACCTGAAAGTGTTTGGAGTTGAAACTAACAATTTCTGGTGAGTGACAGAATACTCTTGAAGGTTAAACGATAAATACCGTATAGGCTGACAAGAATTGAAGAAAGTTTAGACGCCTGGATTGACCTACATAAACAGTGATCGAAGGGGATCGCTGATTGTATGGAGCAATGCCTGCCAAATACTCTCATGTCAAGAAGAGGGCTGCCACAAGCCCCCCAAAGAAATCGAACGGAAAGGGCCACCACCACCATGGCAAACATCACCGCAGCCCAGACCCCCACCTCGACCGGACGATCTCGAAGGCCATGTCCGCTGTCTCAGAGCTCGAACAAGCCATAGCTCACATGCTGCTCATCCGCTTCGAGCAGGACATTGCTCGGCTCTTCTCCACGCATCTGTACTGCGTCGCCCTCGTGCACCTCCCGACGTTTGTCATGCGCTGCATTACAGTGGGTGGGCCAGGTTGGGTGGCAGCGAACGCGGACTCGGAAGAAGTGAAGGACTTTTTCCGCGCGTGCATCGGTATGGATCTGAGGCAGTCTGGCGAGCGCGTCGCGACAAAGAGCGTGCTGTGGTCGTACACCGCGCTGCGGCATTTCGTGCGATCGATTCCACTCTTCCCCAGGTTGTCCGCTGACTACACCCCAGGCTCTATCCAATAATGTACCCATTTGCCGTAAACGGGGACTCCACTCCCTGCGCCTCCTGCCGTACTATTCCGCCCTGAAAGCGCACGTCGAGACGCTCCTCACGATGCCCGCGCCGGCCTTCTCGAAGCCGCCGCACCTCGGCCCGCTCACGGAGGGGCTCGCCGCGCTTGAGGACGCGTGCGAGCACAAATGGGCCGGCGACGGCGAGTGGCGCGCGAAGGTGCGCACGGGGTACGAGCGCGCGTGCCAGACTCTGTGGCGCGTCGCGCGCGAGTTCGACGTGCGTGGGTACGGTCGCGTGCTGCGCGAGAAGCTCACGACCAAGTGGTGCAACTGCGGGTGCTCGACGGACCACCTCGGCGAGGTGTGCGAGCGCACAGTGCGCGAGGACGAGGAGGAGAGCGGCGTGCGCGCGGGCAAGGAGCGCGAGTGGGATGGCAGAGGTAAGTCGTTGCGGTTGCCCGTCTTTGTCTTGCTTATGAGGTGTAGGGGCGGGCGTGTACGGCTGGGAGACGGAGGACGAGGAGGACGTGTGGGAGCTGGATCTGGACTTTAGCGCGTTGGACCCGGACGAGTGCGACGAGGGCGTTGATCCCGACATGACCATCGGTGAGCTCATGGAGTGGCGGTACCTTAGAGCCGAATGGGAGAAAGAGCAGGTTAGTGTAACAATACATCGCTGCTGTGCCCCACGTGAATGTCCCGTCCTTGCCCCAGGGAAATGCTGCCTTCCGGAGGGCCGAGTATGAGTGTGCCATCGAGCGCTACAAAGCCGCGCACGAGATTGAACCGGAGATGCCCCGTTACCAGCTTAACCTCGCCGCTGCGTATCTGAAGGTACAAAAGTGCGCTCTCATTATTTGACGTACATGCGCCTCTTATATCAAAAGGATACCCTAGGTGGATGGAGGCTGAGGATGCATGCACCATCGCTCTCGGACAACATAAGAGTAGCAAGGGCTACTTTCGACGTGCCAAAGCCCGAGCCATGCAGGGACGTATTGAGGATGCTATCAAGGGTAATCTACAACTTCCTGTCTGACAGGATCTGAGAATAACATCTTTATCGCGCTAGATCTACGTGCCACCCTGAAGGTACAACCTGGCAACCCCGAAGCAATAGCGGAGCTGATTGCCCTTCTACCACCTCCGGACCCGGCTGAGGCAACCCCAGCAGATACAGGACCAGCGGTATCCCCATCTGCCATGGCTGCCGCTTCGTCTTCGTCATCCTCTTCCTCATGGAACGCGACGTCGGCTTGCAACGATGCTCCTTCACCGTACCCTGAGTATCTTCGGATACCGAAACCAAAGCCTCCTCGACCCTTGCCATTCGCGCGGACCGAGGCTGACGATCGCAAGATAAAGATTTTATGGCAGCCGCTGACGGTCGACATGCCCATCGATGACCCATGCACCGCGCAGTCGTCCCCCGACGGGAAACGTACGCAGAAAAAAGCTGCGTGGTTGAAGAGCAAAGGCACTTCGATGAAAACCGAGACGTTCACGTACCCTAATTGGGAGCGATATATCGTCATGACGGTCTGACAGCAAGGTAGCGTTGGGGAATGGACATGTACTTGGGACTAGTTTTATTATTATGTATTCGGTTTGTGATTGTGAGGTGTAAGATAGGTGGTGCTGGCAGCGCTTTCGGATAGGTGATTCAACCTGGTACATGACCATGGGACACAGGAGCGCCGGTTTTCTTATCACTATAAGCAGCATTCCGTGGTGAAAGTCCAAACTACCACGGGTAATTGCATTAGTATATCATGAGAGTCGTTACATTGGTCGTATAGATATATTCCGGCAAGAACACGGTATGACGAAGCGAAATGATAGCAAATAAGTCAATTGAAACGCAGAAGCAACACGTCCGAATGTAGAGCCAATGGGTATCATAGTTGCAGATTGGAAGACAGAACCGCAGAGATATGACGAAATTAAACAGTCCAGTCATCATGAGTTTGCTTGTCCTTGGTATTTCTTGATCAGGTCTCTTAGTCTAGCTTGTCCAAAGGCCAAGTCCGCCGGGGGTGATTTAGGAGGGGCACTCTTGGATTCGGGGCCATGAAGAGACTCCGCTACCGTTGGCATGATCTTCATGGGCAGTTTAGGCTTGTCAAACGTCGGCTTCACGAGAGAAGCAGTGGACGACAGAGTTGGCTTGGCCAGCGAGGAAGACAAGATGGCGGGTACAGAGGTGGACTTTATCATGCGAGCTCGTCTTGCTGTCAGGTCACCCAGGCTTGTGGGCTCAGATACCGGCGAAGGAGATTTCTTCCCCTCGAACGGCGGTCGCAGCGATACGGGAGCCCTGGGTGACGGCATCTCCAAACGATTGATCAGTGCTGGCTTGGGTTTCAACTCCCCTACTGGATCTCGTCTGGTCCTATCACCATTGAGTTTCGCCGCTTTCGCCTTCTCGTTATTCTGCACATCAGTGGTGGGGAAAGACGCTGCCAGGGGAGACACAATCCGCTTCGGCTTCGGCGGCTCAGGTTTCGCAGGCGTCTTGACCTCACTACTGCCATTCTGCATAGCGGTGGACCAAATCTGCGTAATAGCAGTGACCTTGCCACCTCTGCCTCCGCGAGCAGAGCGGACATCGTACTTGGCGCCAGAATCCGACGGAGGCGGCCAGTTGATAGGGGGTTTAGGAGACGCAAGCACGCCCTTCTTTGCTTCGCGAGCAGCCTTATCGACAGGCGACTTTGGAGGAGAAAGAGGTGCAGAAGCCTGTGCTTGATCGACCGCATCATGTATAACACCTTGACTTCGTAGCCTTGATGCCCGGTATGTTGCTACAGGCATGAATCCGGAGGATCGGGGATTTGGCAAGGCGTCAACGCTCTTCTGGACAGCTTCACTCTCGCGGTCTGTGGCAGGATCCACATTCTTAGCTGCATCGGCCTGTGGCTTATCTTCCTTTGGAAAATCCTGTACTACCGTGGGTGGTTTCGCATCATCGCTTAAGCTCCTACCCGACAAAGCCGGGGACACGTTCGCCGAAACCGCATCCGCAGGAGGGTGTAAGTCAGGCGTAGGTGTACCCGGGGGAGGCGTATCCACAAGCGGCGGAACCTCAGGATCAATCCGTCCTAACCACTCCGCCACCCTCCCTTTCGCAGCCTTCCTCAGCTTATACGCATCCACCTCCCGCCCACCACGCTCTTTCTTCTTCCCGCTCCGGCGTTCCTTCTCACTTGCTTTATCCTTGGAGGTCCTATCACTTCGCTGCCGCCCCTTGTCCTCTCGATCCTCCGCAGAATGGCTCGTCTTCCCGCTGAGAGGATGGGCACGATGGGTCGGGTCCTCAGATTCGCCCCCGAAGCCCGTGAGCGTCAGACTAGAAATCGCAGAATCATTCACGGGATCCAAGCTATCGGTTGGTCGTGGTGGAATAGCAATCGGCAGGATACTCCGCACGTCCGGCCGCTTCTCTTCCTCCTTCGGCTTCCGCGTCCCAACCTGTTCCAGCAGCTTCTGTTCCAGCACGTCCAGCCCACTCGGCTGAGCTAGCTGGGCATTCCGCGCCCCTTTGCTAGGCGAGACGGCGTGCAAGGCCGGCGTCGGAGGCGTCACGTCTGTGTCAGCAGGAGCATCAGCTACAGCAGCAAACAGTTCGGCTGCTTTAGGCCTTGACGCCATGGCAGACAGTGCTTTATCCTTCCCAGAAGGAACGGGAGGACCAGGGAGCGTCTTGTCCACCTCGGCAGCGACGCCAATATCCTTCGGGATATCCCTCGACATATCCGCATTCTGCTCGTCCACCTCCGCCGCGATCTTCTCGAGCAGGTCCACGCGCTCCGACTTCGTCAGCGACAGCCGCGTGAACGGGTCGACCGTGACCGTGTGCTTCGGCGAGGGCATAGGACGCGGCGACAGTATCTCAGCGGGAGATGTCGATAGCTTATTCGGAGAGAGGTGCCCGCCTGACGTCGCAGCAGTATGCTGCATGGTAATGGGCACGGGGACAGCAGCGGGAAGAGCGAACCGGTGAGACGGCGGCGAGACCGAGCGGTGCCTCGAGGATAAACGCAGATGGCGCGATACCCTCGACGCGCGCTCGCCCTTCCCTTCTTGGCCATCGATGTCAGCTTCAACAGCGGCTGGATGCGTTCGTGCAACGACGTTCAAGGGCGGCAGAGGCGGTGGCTGCGTGACAGCCGCGCTAGGCAACCCAGATGGCAAGTTATAAAGCGGTTGCGACGGGACCGGCTCAGCGCTCGAGGGCCGCGGAGGCACAGCTGCAGTGATCGGAGGGAACATAGGCGGTGGCGGATAGAAGTATGGCTGCTGCGGGTCGATAACTGGCGACGCCACATACGGGTACGGCATTGGCGTTTGGCTGGGGTGGGGCGGATACCATACCGAGTTAGGCAGCGGCTGCATGAACGGAGGTACAGGGGAAATCGGCAACGCGGGATAGGCGTACGGACTCTGCGCGCGTTCAGGATACGGGACGGTCGACATGGGTGGTGAGATGGGCTCCGGAATACCGTAAGGTAGAAACGGAGGCGAGCCATAGTGACCCAGTACAGGTTCTGGGGGTAGAACATCGGGGTGTACGATAGTCACCGGTAGCTCCATGTATATATCTTTGCTGCTGAACGTGTCGGGCGTATGAATGACATACAACAATTGTCTACGTACCTTCCAATTCCCATAGTGATCTTCACGCCAATAACGGCGCGGACTTCGAATAGCGGTTCCGTGGTTCGGCCCTCTTCCTCGTCGTCCTCCCTGCAACCGCCTTTCAGGCTCCTAGCATCTTTGGGGATGTCGAAGACTAAGGTGGCGATCCCCTCCGTCCCCGGCTGCGCAATGTATTCGGGCCCCTTGAACGTCACATGTGTCAAGGTGTCCGATATCTGGAGGGGGGACTTCTCGTTCGGGGGCAGGTTCGGCAGATGCAAATGTCGCGTCAGCGTAACTGATAGGCCTGTATTCTAGATAACAAATGATAAACGGTATGAAACATGGGAAGACTGGAGCACAGCACCTTCTTCGCAGAATGATTCTTGACCTGCAGCTCAACGCAAGCACCCCGGCCCGCCGCAACCACGCCGCCCATGACCCTTCCCTGCGCCCAGATCTTTCCACCCTCGCCGACAACTACTGCCTCCGGGGATACTCTATCAGGGTCACCATCAAATGCTTCCACTACATCCACGTCCTTCTTGTCCGTGACCAGGCGACGTTCGCCCTTCCACGCGACACCCACACTAGCGCGTACTTCGTATCGCAGGGTTGCGAGGCCAGAGCCAAAATTGATAGAAGATGGGGAGGACTCTGGGATGGGAAAACGGAACAGGTAGGTGGTAATTCCCTTGCGGGCCTGAAAGTAGTGCGCCGGTAGTGGCGGCTCTCCGGGCAGGGGATGAGGAAGGACAGCATTCGAAGGCGGCAGTCCTTGTCCTTGGAAGAGCCGTTTGCTGCGCAGAAACGTGGACGTAGCAGAGTGATCTCGGGATGTTAATTCTGCAGTCCGGAGTTAATTGAGAGACTGAGGAATATCAGATTAGCGTACCTTCGATCGCGTATAACTCCACCATCATGACGCCTAACCCCAGGCCTTTGTCCGTGCGACATTCAACTTGCATCTTTCCCGTAATCGCACCACCCGCGATGTACAAGGAATCGGACATGGTCAAGGACACCTTCACCTTGGAGTGGTGAGGCGACGCGTTCATCGGCTCTGGACGCGATAGTGCCATACTGGTCGCCAGTCGTCAGAGGGGGGAATGTATTGTAGGTTCGGTACTTGGTGTTCAAGCTGGTTCCTATCGCTGCAGCGTGCACCAAGCTCGGATGCGACTCTCGGTCCTGGTGTCGAAGCAATGGCCCGTTACCGAACAATTATGATAGGAGTGCTTGCGCCTGTTCCAATTCTCCTGCGAGATGGACGCCTAATGGTGGTAGAGCGGCAGATAGGCAAAAGCATATGTCGAGGTAGCCCTAAGGATTTCAAGGAATAGTCAGACGTCCATCTTCTAGGAAACATCAGGATACCGCATGTCGTCAGTAGTACTCGTGTGAACTTGGGCGCCCGAGCTTCCTGAGGGGAGATTGCCTTTTCTAGACAAGGTTTCATTATGTTTTCCAGATACCTCTTGGACGGCTCTCTCGACCGTCGGCTACCTTATTTCAAAGATAAAACGAAGTAAGCCTTTGCATAAATACAACAACAAGGACAAGGAATCGGCACTTGTCGACAACGGCTGCAATGGCTGTTGGCAGATGAGATGGCAACCATGTCAGGACACCGACGCCGGGAGGAGACCGTCAAAGTGGTGGTTGAGGAAAAGAGAATAGTAAATAATTCACTGGGGAGGCAATACTTTATACGAGTGTCGGATGTGATAAGAAGAAGCGCGAATATGTCAAACGGTGAAATGGGTCTCAGCTCGAACATACCAAGTTAAGTAAGTGCTGTTCCATATAAGGCAAGTGCTTCTTTCTAGACTCTGCTTCTCTTATGCCGAAGGTCTACAGTAATCCTATTACAGCCGTTTGCAGATCGATAGACCACCAATTTAGAAAATCGCGTATAGTCGGAGTGGGTCGGAGTGGGTGCCAGGGACGTCGGAAGAAGGCAGGGAAGTCCAGACGGTCTGATTTCCGTCTCTCGGGGACTTACACTTGCTTGTCCGACGTGGTCCGACTGTAAATGATTTTTGAAAAGTGGGCCCATCAATCTGCAAACGGCTGTAGTATCTTTTCCGGACGTATATTTTCGTATATTCTATTTCTATCGGTTGTATACTTACAGCCTACTCATCCGAAAATAATGGGGCAGTGTCATTGACACTGGATTGCTGCAGATACATTCAGAGAGTACAATTAAACAGCGCGGTACCAATCACTTGGAAGTTGGGACCAGTTGCATGTTACGCCAGCTGCAGGCTACTAGCGCTCTTCTACAGTAAGGCAGGTATGATTTCAGTACTGGTGGGTTCACTGTCGAAACGGCCATAAGTGCATTAACACGAGACACAGCTGCAATATTGATCGTTTTCACTTATAGGCGATCAGTATTGACGGTCAAGGGCCGACTCGGACGCGTTCTATCATAGTGGATTTGTGGGCGCCTGTTTGATCCACCTCGTGCCAAAGATATCGGAAGTGGATAGGTCCAGAACAACACGCGTTCGCACATGTAATACACGAGGCGCGTCCTCGTAAATATCTTCTGGCTCACGCAGCGCTTCACCAGCCCACCCCATCTCATCTTCGCCCAAGGCTCAAACAGAATCTGAACAGCGATGCAGTCCGTCCTCACCGGGAGCAGTCTCGAAGAGATGCTCCATAAACTGGACGAGATGGCTGCCATGCTCAGGGAGAGGCAGTTGTCGACCAGTTTCCCTGGCCTTAACGTCTCCTCTAATTCTCATTTCAATAACGGCCTAACGCCTGTTAACACTTCTCCCATAGTATCGCCCTCCACAGTCAGCAGCGTCAGTGTCTCGCCGGTGTCGAGCTGCCCTGATGAAGTGGGCGAGGCGGGCGTTACTGAAGCCAGGGAAGGGAGCGAGAATCACGCTCCCAACCCTCGTCTTCAGCGCTCGCCGTCGCTCAATCCGCTCTCCGAGTTGCTGGCGGGACCTGCGATTCACGTGGAGGCTCGGCCAGCCAGCCCCAGTGTTTTCGTGCAGGTATCCCATCCCGGCTCCCCGCGCCCGGATACGCCGCCCGTAGACGCCGCCCATCCTGAGGAAGAGTGTCAGAATCGCTCGTCATCTCCGACTGACACCGGAAAGAAACATGAACTCTACTACTTCAGGGACGGAAACGTGACATTCTCAGTACGTTTATGACCCTAACTCATATGTATTAATATACCAGTAAATCTGACATTCATCTATACATCTAGGTGGAAGGAACCCTATTTCGCGTCCACCGCTTCTTCTTCGAGCGCGACTCGGCGCTATTCAGGGAGTCCATCCTCAAAGACATGAAGCACCACCAGAACTCGGTCATTGAGCTAACCGGCTGCACTGCCCTCGATTTCGAGCGATTCCTCGGCGTCCTGTATCCCGCGTAAGTGCCAGTGCCCACCTCACCGTCCGCAATTTTAGCTCTCTGACATTCGTTTCGTACTACACAGCGCCTTCCACGAGCACACCGCTACCACCCTATCCGAATGGGTCTCCGTCCTCTCCCTCGCCACCCAATGGGGCTTCGACTCCATCCGGTGCCTGGCGATCCGGGAGGTCTACCCGCTCGCGTCGCCTGTCGACAAGATCGTGCTCGGACACAAGTACGACGTTCCCGCGTGGTTGCCGGGCGCGTATGAGGCTGTGTGCGCGAGGGAGGACCCGCTGGAGGATGGGGAGGCGGAGCGGATGGGGGCAAAGGATACCGCGAGGGTCGCGAGGGTGCGGGAGCAGATCATCCGCGCCTTTGGCACCTTGGATCCCCGAAGTCCGGATCAAGGCAGGAAATTGAGGGCGCTGGTGAAGGCTGAGTTCGACTTCGCCGTGGAGACTCGTGAACCGGAGCCTCCAGGGGATCTTGACCTGGACAATGAGTCAAGAGTCGGGGATAGCGCTCTTCCAGCCGATGAACTAGCACCATCATCCTCTCCTCAGACTCCTGGTTGGTCGACTTGGATTGGGCGACGCACCCAGGAGTCAGAGGGCTCATCTCCGTCTCCGCCTTCTCCTCAGAGTGCTCCTCAACCCGGATGGATATCTGATCAACAAAGCTTGCGGCTCAGGGACGAGGATAGGGCACCTCTTGCAGATGAACCAGCACCAGCACCAGCACCTCCATTGTCTCGCGGTTGGTGGGGTCCCGGGGTAGTTCGAGGCGTCCAGGAGATAGAGCACCTGACCCCCTCAAGGTTCCTTTCTCCGCTGAGTGCTCCTCAACAAGCATGCGCCCCTGAGGAGGAGGGAAGCTTGCTACCCGGGCGGGTTCCTCCTCCAGATGATCCTCCTTCCATCTCTCAGAACGCTCAGTCAGGACGTTCTGAGGCAGTGGAATTGGCAAGCGGTCAGCCACCTGCACCTCGCGACGAACCCGAACCCGGGACTCCCTCTAACAACGAAAGTTGTTTTCGCTGTGGGCGCCGGATGGTAGACAGCACATGCCAAGGAAAGATGTGTCGGATGATGGAGAAAAAGGAGAGACGGAGGCGGCAGGCTGCTTTTGGCTAGACTTCCCCTTCCCCGGCATGAACTCCGGCGACTCCCAGTGCGGAAGCATCACATCCTACTCAGTATCCGTGACATCCGACTGTCCGTCCTGTGATGTATCCTTCGCCTCCCTCTCTTGTGTAATGTTACTTGGGTATAGTGTCCGACGTGTCAGAGAAGTCATGGCTGAACGAGATGTGAATGATATCGATGTTGTCAGACGTGCGGTCACTCCATGGCTTCGTTAAGGACAGAGACGACCAACCTGTTGTATTGCATGAGCCGCGTGTACCATTTGTGTATGCCCGTGCGCCCCAGTACATTGGCTTACGACCTGGAAGGGGAGGCTGAGTACTTCAGATTTAAATTGTGGGCTTCTGTTGTTCGAATCGTAAGCACTTCCGATCTCAGAAGCAGAAGACCATCATGCCCTACCCCACGAGGCACCGCGACCTTGATATACCTCGCTGTAACTGATCAACTCCTTCGCCCCCCAGAGAAACCCTATTCACCATCGATATCCCGCTACACAGTACCATATCTACCATGGGCACGCAACAAGCCAAGAACATGGAAGAGATGTTCTACAAATGGATGGCTACGATGATGAAGGAGTCGTCTGCGAATGCAGCCCAGTCGGGCGTCAGCGCATCCGCCAGTCCTCCCTCCCCGCCGTCCGAGTCGCCGTCATCAGTCGGCAGCGTCACAATCTCGGACTGTACCGATGCCGCTCACCCTGCATCCAGCCCTGACGGGAAGCAAGGGGACGATGCTCGTCCTCTTACACGCCCGGAGGACGTGGAGAAGGCGCCCTGCCCCAAGCCAGGACTCCCGATCAACGAGACAACCGTAGAGCACCTAGGCAATGCGGGCCCGGGGGCGAACGGTACAGATGAAGGTGCTGTGCCACCTGTCGTCATGTCGCCTGGCATATGTGCACCTATCGGACGTGAACATGAGCACTACTACTTCAAGGACGGGAATACCACTTTCTTGGTACGCTTCGTAGCCTCTCGCCCAGCTTATGTTCGTATGTATTGAACAATCTCACTCACCTAGCTTGACGGCGTCCTATTCCGGGTGCACCGCTTCTTCTTCGAGCGTGATTCCGCCTTATTTAGGGACGTGATCCTGAAGGACATCGACTCAAACCCTGGAAATGACTTTATCCGCCTCAACGACTGCACCGCTGTAGATTTCGAGCGATTCTTGGGCGTCCTATACCCTACGCAAGCGCTACAACGTCTACGCTTTTCGTTAACTCATTGATCTCGCCCACGACAGCGCATTTCATCAACATACCGCTACTACTTTGGACGAATGGACGTCAATTTTGGCGCTCTCGACTCAATGGGGCTTCGACAGTATCCGACTCCTAGCGATCAAAGAGGTCTTGCCCCTGGCGTCTCCTATCGACAAGATAGTCCTGGGCCACAAGTACGATATCCAGGAATGGCTGCCAGACGCCTACCATGCCCTATGCGTGCGGAAGGACCCTCTATCCGACGATGAAGCGGAACGCCTGGGTGCCAAGGACACGGCCAGAGTCGCCAGAATCCGCGAGCGACGGATGGCGTTGGCGCCTGGTTTTCAAGTGACGCTGCCTCTGATTAGCGGGATGTTTGGGTTGTCCGTGAAATCTGAAGAAGCGGCCTCTGGACCTACGGAGGCACCGAGCTCCGGCCGCACACAAATCACAGCCGTACCTAGAGCCGGAACGCAGGACAGAGGAGAGGCTCAATCCGTGGTCAAAGACAACGACTCGATACCACCAGTTCTCTGGGCCTCGGAATTTGAGGCACCTAAGGATGACATTGCTGACCCGGGCTATGATGAAAAGCGCAAGGATGATGCTGTTAAAACAAACGATGCTACATATGACGGTGACCGTGACCCCTCCAAACCAGCGCTGAAGGGCTGGTTGAAGGCTCAGCGCACCGGTGTGCAGAATGAGGCCCAGAAAAGCAGACGAAGATGACGAACGAATTAGGATTGACCCAGTGATGGAGGTCGTACATTCGGAGAGAATAGGCTTTGAATGACTTAGACCAGTATTAGCTAACCTATCAGGATTCAGACCCGAGTTTACGAGTCCCGGCGGTTCCCCTGAGAAAAGGCAAGCACCTGAAGTCGAGCAAGCACAGTCCTCAGGTAAACCGCAGTAGGAAGTTCCAGTCAGTAACGGAAATTATTTGACATCGTTGGGGAAAGCGTCTGGTTTCAACACAGCGCCCGTTGTGGGTAGTTACGACGCGGTTTTGCTATTGAGGGCGTAAATACAGGTAGAATGTAGAATCAGATGCACGTAAGTTAAGTATGAAGGATTCAAAGGACGGGGAATGTAGTGACAGTGACCCTGCACCTGATAGCCACACGCGTCAAGTAACGCAGTCTATTGGTACATACCACTCTGGTTTCACGGTACAGTTCAAGTTACAGGAGTGTGTACTATGCTCGCAAGACAGACACGTCTGACATTGTTGACAGCCTCATACATATGTACTATTATATGAGCTCGCCAAGCGCAGGGCTGACCATTGCGATGCCATCATTCTGGTCAGCAACAGTTCGACGCACAGCAAGGCGAGAAGGAGATTTTTGTGGACTTCGACCCGGCGAATGGGTGTCGAAACTAAGCAGTGCCAAGTGAAGCTTTCGCATATGTAGAACGCCAGTTGAAACGAATAAATACGCATTGAGTGATACTACAACAGATGATCCGTGCATTTACCCTTCCTTCAATCAGTCGATGCTGATGCCCAAGTTCCTATACCACCCCGTCGCTCCTGATCGCGCATTGGCCGAAGTCTTTCTTTGTCAGGCCCTCTTCTTTGGGTAGGATATCCTGTAACAACCGTCCAGAATTCCATGAGCCCCTTTGTCAAGTTGGTATGAGAGTGAGAGAGATGTTTACGTGTTCGAATATCCCGAGGGGTAGAGCGAGTGTTACACATGCGTTTGGGGAGTCCTGCCAGTCAAACAGTGGGGGTGAGATGCCGCGGAAGAGGGATGGAGTGGTGAAACGAGAGCATACCACGACGGCGCCGACGTGGGACTCTACGGGAGCGGCTGACAGGAGGAGATCTGAGTGATTTGTTAGCCTACACATTTTCAATGAATATAATACGAGGAAGGTGTTTACAGGCTTGCTCCCGGGCTGTGGAGTTACGGGGGAACGTCAGAGGTGTAAATATCTCAGAAATTGATCGGTCTGTCACTTACTGTACCCAATCTGCGGGAAGAGTGCTCAGCACGCACACCATCAGCACATTCACAGCTACGACATACCTTCATAAGATATGTAATGGCATTCAGAGCAGCCTGCTTGTACGCCACCGTTCTATGTGCCAGAAGAAGTCAAGTCAACATGAGGCCAGGCGCACAGGGTGGGATACTCACGCGTCCATGTTGTACTGTTTACCGTCACCATCTATATAGAAAGTAAGCATACGCTGGCGTAATACCGGGAGTCGTTGGACGACTGACGGAGATCCACGCTGATGCCCTCAAATATGAGCTAGATATAGGAAGGCAAGGTCAGCAGACGGGAATGAACATAACACGAGAGACGCATTCCTTTGCGGAGTATAGCGGGTCTATGGGCGAAGGCTATCGCATCATCATCATCAGCATGCTAACCTTCAACCGATTCGACAAAAAGGTGTGGCGCTTACTAGGAAAATGGGCTGCTTCAATGCGAACTTCTCGACGCCGCCCTTGATGATGCTGCAATTGAAAGTAATGATACCGGCCTACCAAGCTCTTTATCAGGACGACTACAGCGCGTTGCATTAAGTACGAGACTGACCATCTCGATAGCTCCGCAGAACGAGATCTTCCGGGTGAATGGTCAGTGTGAAGTATTCATGTGAGGTACTCGCATGAGCGTACCTCTCCCTGTTATCAGATAGTCAGTATCGGCATAGGGGAGGTAGTGTATTCATGACGATGGAGCTTACATCACCCTGCGAGAAGTGGAGGTCCCCTACCGAAAGGTTCGCGCCTTTGACGAAAACGGGGAAATAACACCGAGAACCCCTGGAACACAACTTCAGCGTTCCTCCCCTAATCACACTCGACACCCCTCACGTACCTAGACAAGTTCTTGATCTGCCAACCCGAAAGAAGTCAACTCTTTACCCCCGCACTCCAAACAATGCACACGACTCAGACTGTAAGCACTCACGTCGCAGTTCCCTCCATGCTCCCTCCCCGGCACCGTCCTCGCGCCCTCCTCGTAGATCCGCTTCCGCACATCCTCAGGCAGCTCCTGGCCCACATACGCTCCCTTCGGCTCGGGCGGGAGCGCCACAGCGGGCACCGCGCCCTCGTGCTGCGCGATCAGTCCGCGCTCGCGCTCGTTCCACTTTGCCAGCAGCTCGGGGGAGGGTGCGGTGCCGATCAGGCCCGGATGGGAGACGCCCGCGAAGCGTACGCCGGGGATGTGCCGCGAGGTGGCGTAGATACCTGGGGAAGGGGAAGGGTAGGCGTTTAGATGTAGAGAAAGGGGGGGGGCAGCGTACCGTTGAAGTCCCAGATAGCTTTTGCTGCTCTGGAGTTGAATTCGCGGGCTTCGGAGGGTCAGGGATTTACAGGGAAGAATTGGGACGTAGCTCACCGAAGAGACCGCCGCCGTTGTGTAGCTCAAAGATACCCTATAATCAGTTGTACTGTCAGTTGCCATTCGGAGTATCATCATTATAAGATAGAAACGTACAGTGTAACCCCAGGGCATTTTGTCGAAAGGCTTGACTTCATATAATATATTATTAAAGTCGTTATACCGACACGAAGCGAATATCGTACCATCGAGAATGTCGACTACAAGGCAGTCGCCAGGCTCTGCGCCCTCAACGGCCACTGGTCCGGATAGGTTATGAATCCTCGTCAGATCCACGTCACGAAGGTCATCAGCAACTGCGCAGAACCGTGAGTATTAATTCATGCAATGTCGACCCGTTCGTAACCTACAATCATTGTTGCCGATTTGGGCGCCCGTCCAGTCTGGGTTGGTTCGCAGACAAAGAAGCAAAGGGGTTAGGATCGGCAGTGAAGGGATCTGCGGCTATTGATGGGTAACACTAACCGACGCATTGGATATTGAATGACTATGCGGAAGGGTCCACTCGATCACGATCGTAAACGTAGATTGCGAAAGTGGGCGTACCTGTCCTGGCTTAACGGTGGCGACCGGAGGGATTTCCGGACTGACAAAATGGACCTTTGTGTAAGCAAGCTGTGGCAATTACAGTCTGTGCGACGTACTGCCAGCGGTTGTGGATGCCCTTCTGCTCACTCGCGGGACTGTGGGAGGGCGTTATCTTTCAAGTCTTCGGCAAGTCTTCCAGTATAGAACGCACACAAATGGATCAACCTTAAGGACACGGAGTATTAGGCTTCATCAATGGATAATGTACGCCAGCATCCCTCACCTCAATAAGAGTCGGTATTGGCACAGAGTTCGCCTTGGTCGCCATGGTCAGAGAGAGTGCGGGGTAGTTCCTGGGAAGAAGTGAGTGCTAACAATACCTCGAATACAAGAAGTCCGAGTCCAGCTGGTTTAAGTGCATCTCGTCTTATCTCGTTCGGCCGTCCGACGGGGCGATAAGCCGCCGGGAGAACCGTAAGTTCACGACACTGTCATCGTCACGGGTGCTTTCGCGGGAACGATAAGTGGGGACGCGCCTGTGCGAGATATCGTGAATGAAGAGGTAGAAATTTGCGCCGCCGTTAGGGGATTACTATCATGCTTCAACCTGACTGGTGATACTAGTGTTGAGGCGGCGTTGCGATTTCGACGTATCGTTTGTCGACATTGCAAAGTCGCTTCAACACGATACAGCATATGGATTCTTGTGACCCATTGAAATGGCTGGGAAACGGCCATCGATGGTGGGATGAAGTGACAGACCTCCAGCTCACATGGCGAGGAGATAATTATAAAGGACTTAGAAGACGACCAAAAATGGTAATGTGGCCGTCGATCAAGTTGCCGGTTCCCGGCAGCTGCTGTGGCGTTGGTTGCCGGGTAGCGCCTCCGCGATACAAACTGAGCCTGCGGCAGCTTAACAGTTGTAAATTGAACCATTTAGCAGGCTCCTAAACCATCCGTTCTTAGCGTTGTCGTTCCTCCTTTACTAGAGCGCACGCGCAATGTTATGTAAGAAAATCTATTTTTATGAGATTTACCGGATACAGAACGAACAAGAGGAAGACAACGCTATAGAACGGCTGGAAGAAATGGCTTGACCGAGATCACCGAGGCTGACAAACCATCAATGTACACCCATTTTCCATCCCCAAACTTGGTCGGGTTTATTCTACAATTAAGTGCACTGCATTCGTATATCTCGACGTTACACAGGTCACGGCGTGCCGCGAAACCTCTAAGTCAATAATCACCCCGGACCGCGTCCGCACTGCTGCACGCACAAGTCTTCATTACGTCGTTGTCATCATGTCCTCTGGCTCTAAATGGTCTATCAAGAAGCTGCGAGATCGCGTTCAAGCGACTTTTACAAAGCGTCCGTGTCTCTGGCAAATAAGAGTAGCACAGAGCCTGAGAGAGAAGAAGAATGATGTCGTGCTAGTGGCAGCAACAGGATCAGGAAAGACATTGTCATTTTGGATGCCTCTACTGATGGCACTCGAAGAAGGGGAGGATAAGTTTATAATTATCATTACACCACTCAATGTGCTCGGAAAGCAAAATGTCGAGATCCTAGCAAAGGCGGGAATCAGCGGGGTAGCAATAGATTCCAGTAATAACACGGATGAAACATTCAAGGTAAGAGCTCTCTATTGATACCAGCAAAATGGCATCTTACTTGGAAATCAGGATGTTGAAGCAATCAGACACCGGGTCGTGGTGGTGAACCCGGAGATCATAATGGACCAAAACGGGCACTTCGAGAAGCTCTGGCGAAAGCCAGAGTTCACATCAAAGCTACTCTATGTTGTCTTTGACGAAGCGCACTGTGTCAGCGAGTGGAGTAGCTTCCGGAGTCAATACAAGCACATTGGCAGTATCCGGTACATGATTCCGGATACTGTACCTTTCTTGGTAGCTTCCGCTACTCTTGCGGCTCCAGTCCTTGCAGATGTGGTCGAGATACTGCAGCTACGGATCAGCCACATCGACTACATCCTACGGTCCAATGACCGCCAGGACATCCACCTAACTGTGCGCCGGATGCTACACCCAGCGTGCTCTTTCAATGATCTAAACTTTCTAATCCCGGATGAGTTCAAGGATGGTGGCGCACCTCCACCAAAGTTCCTGGTCTTCTTTGATAGCATCAAGGAAGCCGAGGATGCAGTAAAACACCTGCGGAATCGCTTACCTGGGGGTGTAAGGGGCAAAATCAAGTACTTCCACTCCGTAATGACACCCCACTATCGTACTGCGGAATACGAAGCGCTGAGAGATGATCAGATTTGGGGTCTTTGCGTCACGGACTCCTTCGGAATGGTGAGCCATTTGCACTTACAGCCACGCAATACGATAGCTTACCGATCTTGCAGGGTCTTGATATTCCTGACATTAAAGTTGTTGTCCAGTGGAAAGCGACGTGTAATATCACAACATTGTGGCAGCGGCTCGGCAGAGCTGCAAGGGGGTATGGTCAGGAAGGCATAGGGATCATTCTTGTCCCCCCAAACCTCTTTGATAGTGAACGAGACAAGGCAAAACAAAGGAGTGAGAAGCGGCAAGAAAAAGCACAGGGGAAGAAGAGGAAACGAAAGCATAACAAGACAGACCCACCGAACAAGCATTCCGCCCTGCCCTCCATGCCACTCCAAGTACACCCCATGCCTACTCCTCGTGCCGATCCTGACAGGCTCGAGGATCAAACATACTCTAGTTCATCAAGCAGTGAAGAGGAGTCATCGGACGATCATACGGCGGCAGTCAGCACCCGGCCACATAGTTCGCATCCTCCGGGTACTGATAGGGCAGCTGCTGACTCGGAGCAGGTTACGGAAGGCCCTCTGGCGGGTCCATCACAGGCACATCAGGAGGATCAAGCACTCGCTGATCAACCCCGCCAAATGCCGGACTTCGATCCTGAGGAGCGACGCTTGGCCTATGATGTTCGCAAGACGCTGACATCTGTAGGCATCAAGACTCAGGAGCTCTGCCCAGCCATAGATGACTTGATCAATGCAGATATCCGTGGATTCCAATGTCGACGCAAGCCAGTAACACTTGTCTTTTCCAACGATAAGCGCTGTGAGTTATTATCAGTTCAGCTTAGCCCGACTTCTTTCTCACGCATTATGCAGCCTGGGATCACATGAAGTGCGATGACAGTAACTCCGCCGGCTGCTCACGCTGTGCCCCTCAACCATCCACGACATGCTGCGACCTGTGTGATCCAGACGTTTTGCTTGCCATACGCACTGTTCAGCCACCCGCTCCAAAGAAACGCATGAAGAAGTCACATATCAAACCTTACGTGCGGTCTACAGCTGACCATGGCCTGCGTGCCGCACTACGTGACTGGAGGGACACTGTTGCTGTAGAGCAATTCGGCCGTGCTGTTGTGAAGGATTTCGGCGCAGATATATTCATGCCCACAGACACCATATCACGAATAGTCAATTGTGCGCACGCCGGGAAACTCCATTGCCTTGCTGACCTAAAGAAAGAAATCAGTTGGTCGAATTCTTGGCTTGATGAACATGGGGAAACAATCATTGATAAGATCCACGCCTGGTTCCCCCCGCCCATGTCAAACAAGGGCATGTCCGTCCCTCTAGGTTCTCGCGGAAATCTTGCCAACACAATATCTAGTGTGTCCAATCCCCTCGCCAATACCACACCTAGCGCATCCACCCCTGGTGCCCCAGGGCAACGCCCGCGAAAGCTGCCTCGGTGCGGCAGCTGTAAAGCAGTAGGGCACACCAGTATGTGCACTTACTTCAATCTGATATCACTGTCCTAAAATAATTGCAGGCCGCAGTTCCCAGTGCCCAAATCGCAAGGCAGCTGCCGCAAGTGCTCAGCCAAGACGAGAGGAGGCTCAGAACGAGAATCGTCCAGCTGGCGAAGCAAATTGGAGCATAACTGGGCCGGAACACTATCAATAGACTACGCATCCTCGACTTCTATATCACCATCCTCGCGATCCGCCTCCAGCTCAACATCCAGCCACTCGTCCGCTTCGGTATCAGTTTCAGCGCCCTTCATCTGCATCATCTGCATAATCCCCTTCCTCATAGCATCGGGTATGATATAATGTGCCTTTCGCCCTGGTATATATTTGTGAATGTCATTTTTGGTCATGTACTTCAATAGTTTCTCGAACGTCTTCTTCATAGCAGGAGGTGAGTGCTTGAAGTCTTTGTGGTTCAGCGTGAACATTTTCTCGAAACTGATTCGTACTGATTTGTAGACCTCGATCAAAGCAGATTCCTGAAATATTCTCTCCTCTGTGTGATTCGAGAAGCGGCCGCCATAAATCCTCTGCAAGAAAACCATTTTGTAGCGGACAATTGTAGTGAATGGGTATAATTTACCTTTATATAAAGATTATTATGTTCGACCAGCCAGTCGATTGCGCGGAAGGCCTTTTTCTTGCCGGTTGGATTGCATAAAATGTTCATCTGTATAGTGTGTCTTCAACTAGGTGAGCAATGGTAAGATTATTCAAGGCAAACTCTCTTACCGCAGCCGCTCCGGATACACAAAATACAGGTCATGCAAGAACTTCGTTAGCTGTGTTGCATATTTATGCTTCCCGCAACCACGGAATATGAATGCCCATGGCATAAAACAGTCCTCGACCCGCCCGATATCACCGCAATTCATCCCGTAAGTCAGTTCTTCGTATAGCAGGAAGTATTGCTCACGCAGTGCCACATTTTCGTACTGTTGGTCTCGGGACGTTTCACTCTCTTCCCGGAGGGACGGGAACTTGTCATCTGCGACATATTTGCCGGATTCAATGATGCGGACCGCCAGTTGTTTCACATCCTCCCATTCCGGCTTCGATTCGACCCATGTTTCAAAGGTATTGAACGTGGGTAACCAGTTTGTGACTGCCTGCTTCCAGCAGTCAAGCCGCGAGACGATGCCCACATGCTGGATGATCTCATGCATCCTCCTGAATCCAGGTTTGCTTCCTATCTTTAAGGTTTCTTTGGGTCTGATTTGCGCTACAGTCTTCATCAAGCTTGTATCATCTTCTCTCGCAGATTTCGGCTGGATGAAGATCTTCCAGATGGCATCTGCCGCTGCCATCTTCAAGTGGAAAAGCCCGATGATGAAGACTATGAATTGGAAACGGCGCCATGGTGTCTTCTCCTCACTACGAGACTCTTGAAGACTCTGGACCCGCTCGCATGTGGATAGATCACCGTGAACGAGCACGACGTGGTTACCAATGTCGACGGCAGCTTTGGCTGGTGGGTCCTGGGCCGTATCGCCAGCGATACCAGCTTGCTCAAACAGATTGTTGAGTGCCGAAGCGTTCCCTTGAACTGTCGACTGATTTAGATCCATTGCGCGAGCAGGAACCTGCTGCGACTTCGTTTCAGGGATCTGGATAATGGTTTCAGGGTCCTCGAGGTCTCGCGCGAACCTGCGAAAGTACTCCGGCCCGTGGTGAATCAAGTCATGCAAGAACTTCCAGCAGTTAAACCGCTGCCTTCTCGTCAACCTGGTTGGATGCTCCGCAGGGTCGGTTTGCGGGTGGATTCGCATCAACTTCTTCCAGTCGAAGGTATGTGGTAATCTCCAATTGGCAGGGTTAAGCCTAGAGCTCTTCCAGAGCTCCTCGGAACAATCCAAGTCCTTCCTCGTGACACCGTGCTCGAGTCGGAGTAGAGTGCCGGATGTGAAATGGAGTGAGTTATCTTGTGGTTTCTCTACGGTCGGTACTGAGTGCTTCATCTCGACATCAAAGTTATCATAGGCATAAGATGCCAGTAATGTACGGCCCAGGGCCTTGATCTCATGTGCCGCTTCCTTCGACAAGCTACGCACAGCATGATTTATCGTGTCGGGAGAAATTGAGATCCCAATCCGCGAAAGAAGGTCTATCATGGCTTCCGGAGAGTTGCAGGCATGTGAGTAAATGCCGATCATGCTCTGGATTGCATTGCAGCGCTGATTCGTACTCTGCAGCATTATGCTAATGCAGACAACCTTCTTCTGCACGCAGATCATCTTAGTCGACGCCGTGCGCCCTGATTGGCATGCTCACCATTGTAAGTATGGCTTCTCGCCGCTCCGCTTCCTTGTACTCATCGTGCTCCTCAGCGGTGTTTCCCCCTTCTGTCGCACTATCCGGGCTATCAAATTGACGCCATAAGTCGTCTTCGTCATCAGAAGCAGACTGCATCTCGACGTCCTCGTCCGGCACCTCATCACCCGCCTTCGCTCTCGCTCTCTGCTTCCTCCGAAGCTCTAGGACATGTTCAGCGGATAGTAGTACTCCAACAAGATCCCACAAGTGAGGCGCTAGCATGCGCATGCGGCCCGCGATGTCTGCAACGTCAAAGCCCTTCAGCTGCAAGACGGATGCCTTGGAAACCGTGAAATGCAAGCCAGTGCTCTTCTGCGCAAGCTTGCGGATCTCATTTCCATATGTTCGCTTCAAGCTTTCGTGGGCCCATTGTAGCATTTCCGATGCCGCACTTCCATGAGCTTGTAGGCTGTCCATAATCCTTGTTGCATTGCATACCAATTCATTTGTTGCGGCGTCATTATTTAGCTCTGAATTCTGCAGCAGGCCTATGACGAGATTGGTTGGTGTAGTGTCTAGTTGTTTCAGCGCCGCAAGGGCACGGTAGAGGAGATCAGTTGATACGAGCATATGTTGACAGGAGTTCGGGAGGAGAGATTGTTGAGAAAGAATACATTCTGAATAGGTATAGGTATATATACACGCGTGTTGTACACCTTTACCTCGCATAATGCACATTGCGCGCAGCAGTGCGGACGCGGTCCGGGGTGATTATTGACTTAGAGGTTTCGCGGCACGCCGTGACCTGTGTAACGTCGAGATATACGAATGCAGTGCACTTAATTGTAGAATAAACCCGACCAAGTTTGGGGATGGAAAATGGGTGTACATTGATGGTTTGTCAGCCTCGGTGATCTCGGTCAAGCCATTTCTTCCAGCCGTTCTATAGCGTTGTCTTCCTCTTGTTCGTTCTGTATCCGGTAAATCTCATAAAAATAGATTTTCTTACATAACATTGCGCGTGCGCTCTAGTAAAGGAGGAACGACAACGCTAAGAACGGATGGTTTAGGAGCCTGACCATTTAGGAGTGTAATGAATCGCTTACATGTTGTGATGGGAATATAATTAAATTAATAGATAACATATGGAATTCGACATTCCGCAGCGCTTTTGCTAGGATCCAGCCGAAAGCAAGCTTAAGCTAGCAAAGCAGCCCTGGTAATTATACCCAGAATTCGGGAGACAAGGCCAAACACTGATTACCCCTTTTCCATCTACTGAGACGGAGCGTAGATCACACGTTTGCTATGTACACAGCCCGGCAGTATTTGTACAAATGTTGCGTCAAAATCCGGAATCAAACGTTTGCGCTGAGATTGCCAAACAGGAGCAAGAAAATCGCCCTCGCGAATGAATCAGACCGAATATTTGCATGAGTTTCTTGCCGCGGGATAGCGCAAATGTTGCACAAATAGAGTCACATGACCTGCACGGGACTGATAACATCAATCACGCCATATGCCTGGATTGGTCCCCTTTCCCACCCCATTGCTCGACGGCGCAGCTCATATGGATGCATGGAAAACAATGTAATCATCATATGTATCTACTACATACACATATGAGCATCTAATGATACATCTTGCATGTCGCAAGACCCAATCTTCCTGTGGTGCACCTACTGTTTCAGAGATGAAAATACTAAGGTGATATGCCGCACGCTCGTCGGCCTATACAACTTCTGCATCATCAGTATGTT